TGAGCTAAATTCCTAAATTTAAACAAACCTATCTACGATGCATTATGTACCAGCAATGTTACCTACGATTAACTGAATATGTAATATGTCTAATAAATTCACCTACAAAAGCAAGTTCGATAGGTGCAAACTTTGTGTTATGGAATTGTATCGCAGCACAGTTTTGTATGACACCCTCTTTAAATGAAATTTCAATGATTAAGCGCAAACATTAAAATTACTAACTTTGAACTTTGTCATTATCTGCAAAATGTTCCACACAAATCTTTCCGCTATCGCGTTTGTAATCTTCTCTGATAAAAAAAAAGTCTATGATGTCCAGAATTGCTCTTTACAGCTTGCCTGTTATTCCAGCTTTCCAAGTAAGCAAAACTTCTTAGATATAGAGATTATTTTGTTTCGTTACAGGCGCAAAAAGGCAGGTACTACACGTAAAAAAGACGCCGAGTAGCAAAAGCGAGCGGAAAACGGACGCGAAAGGCGACGAGAAATATGTGCATTGGAGCGTATCATGAAATACAATGTTTTGCCTGTAGTCTTATGGAGTGACGTCAGAGTTGCCTATCATGTTGTTTAATGTCATTGGTGGGATATGCGCTCCAACTGCTTGGGATAACAGAATACTGGAAATACCGGTACAGGGACCACAACTGGCGTTCAACGAAAGACCTACATGTATATATTTCATGAATTCCATGTAACTATGTACATTTCTGGTACACCTTTCAAAATCCAATGGCCTAACTCAGTTCATATTTTGACACCATGTACGTATTCCAAAATTGGTGATGTTCAGGGCTGGATTTAGACCATGAGAGGCCCCTTCATATTTTTGAGCTCGGAATTTCTTTCTAAACAACACCACATGTCATTGCCTAAAATTTAAAAAAACACGAGTGCATTAAACTTTTCATTCTCCCCATTCATGGGTGTGAATTTTTAATTAGAAGAATAAAAATTTACTTGAGGCAGTTTTGCTTTCAATTTCTTTGATCAAACAACCGCTACAGCCATACTTTAACATAGAAACTTCCAGCAGAATGCGCATAATAATAATTTCCCTTATTATGATGCAAACGACGCAATAATGGCTGTTCACAATGTGGTTGAAACCAGTTGTGTACAGAATTTTTTACTCTGAAAAAGCTTGATATATAAATATACGTTTCGTAGGGTTTAAACTTGTCAAGTTTTCAAAAGAATTACAAACTTCGAAACCGAATTTCGAGGCTCTAGGTTTCAGCCTGCCTAGCCTATTGGTAAATCCAGCTCTGTTGATGGTCCCTACAGCAAATTTCAGGCCCTAATCACTCAGCAGATTGAAATAAACGGTTTTCAGCATTTCTTAGCAAAGATACATATTTTACTTAAACATATAGTTCAACTTAAAGCCTGTATAATGATATTATAAATATATTTCCCATTATTACTGCATTGTGAGAAGGCTTTCCACACTATCAAGTCTATAGGTTTTAGCGTCTTCCAATGTCTCAGATGGAAACTTCAGTCTTCATTTCGCATATTCTTTTCATTAATGCCATTAGCATTTGAAGCTTGACTGATTCCAATGTACCTTTTTCATTGTTGTTCAATGTAATATCCTAAACGTGACTTTTTTTCTCACTTCAATCATCACATGTTTGAATACCCGAGCTGACTTCTACTGATTTGTTATTAATTTACAATTTTTTTTTATAAATTAACTGTCGTACTTGCTAAGTGTCCACTAAGTGAAAATCTACAAAAAAAGCAGTGCTTTAATAATGGACTACATTTTTAACCGAATCCAAAAGTATTTCGTAACTTAGTCAACCCTTCCTCCAAAGAGTTTTTGTTAAATTGTTCAAACATCTTAATTAACTGTTAATCTTGATAGCGAACATGGGGGCAGGGGGGAACTGACTGTGATGGTCGTATTGCTCAATAGTGTATACCGAATAACTGTGTGTTTTGTATAAAGTTTTTATTGATTCAATGCTTGTATTCTGGTTGACGAAATAAATCTCTCTGTCGTATTCAGTCATGTTTTTTAACCTAGTTAGGAGACCGGTATTGTATCATTATAGGTTGGAGATATTCATCTTTTTTGTATACCGGTATCGTACAACTTATCCTGCCTATTGGCAGGCTGGCCAACAATTTTGTTCGTAGGCCTATTTCAGTATTTACTAAATAATTTAGTTTTCACCTCTTGCAGCCTTGGTACGGTACCGTATACCGGTAGTTTAAATAACACGTCAGCATGCCTTCAGTAAATGATTGCTAGCTGTACAGGTATAAATGCGTAAAACCAGTAAACAAACGTGATGGAAATGGTATGGGTTATGGATTGTCAATGTTAAACGCTTCTATTTTTTTTTTTTTTTTTGTTATTAGATTTTCATAAAATAATATTGAATTAATCAATATTAGAAGATAAATAATGAATTCATAAAAAGTAATATTTCACACTGTTTGAAATAATCTAATAGTATGGTATGAGTAAACAGAAGATTGGAGAAATTTCACATTTTATCTATATACTATACAATCAATTACGGTACTAAATAAAATTATATTGAAATAAACAATATCAGTAATACAGTCATGAAAAGTATCACAATGTTTGCATTCGCAATCTAATTATGTTATTAGAAAACTGAGAAAATATGACATTATATGTATATACCATACAGGGGCAATCATTTAGCAAAAAAAATCTCACATTTTAGGTATATACCATATAAGGGCAATCATATAGCAAATAGAATAATATTGAAATAACAATTTTTAATTCAGCAATACAGTTATAAAAGGTAATTTCTCACAATGTTTGCAATTGTAGTCTAATAATGTTATAAGAAAACAGCAACATATCACATTTTATGTATTTAAGGAAAAAAAAACAATAATATGTAATTAAATAGCAAAAAGTCACTTGATCGACTATTATATAAATAAATGCCACTTTCTTTTGTGTATCAGGATTTTACTATTTTTCATTGCTATATATTTCTCGTTGTCACGAATATCACGAATAAATTTATAAAAAACATCAAAAATTGGTTTTCGTTTCTGGATTCGGCATCTATATATAAAGAAGCGGGCAGCCAATAGTACACAATTGATGAATTGTATTTCAGGAATGTCATCAAAGCCCATAAAACATTCTTTGATGGAAAGATCAAAATTCAAGTTATCTGTCTTAAAAACAATCCACTGGTCTATCTCGGACCAAAATTTACTAGTTATCTCACAATAATAAAATAAATGCAAAAGGGTTTCGATATGTAATTTACAAAATTCACACAAGTTTGATTCTACTATCCCAAATCCATATGAAACAATATTCAGTGTTATAGCTTTATAAAACAGCTTAATTTGAAAAGATCTCAGCTTTGTCTCAATAGTTGATGAATATGAATTTATGAAATATTTATTCCACTGTACACTAGAAATATTGAAAGATTCTTGCCAAAAGGACTTGTACATGTTTGGAGAGACAAACTGTTTCATTATTATTATTTTATAGGTATTTTTGCACGAATAATTTTCAGTGGTGGTTGAAAGAAATTCACTAAAATCAAAGTCACAAATTTCAACATATGATTGCACAATGTCATTCCATTCCTCAGGAATACTACCTATGATTTTGTAATAAGTTCTATAATCATCAACATTATATTGCATGCTATATTCATCAAGTAGCTCAAAATAAGTATAGAAAGTATTATGAGAAATTAAATGTCTCAATTCAGAAATGCCATGTTCTTTCCATGTTGAAATATAAAAAGGTTTTCTGCTATATTGCAACTTTTTATTGTACCAGATCGATTGATTAAGTATAGGCACATTCAAAACAATATTCTTATACTACCATGTTCTTATACTACTATGTTATACCAGTATAACATCATGTTTCTAATAGTGATAAATGGAATATTTTTCATAAAATGGGAGTTCCAGAATAAATTCCCCTTTAACAAGGATGTGAAATCAAGATTCTTCAAATAATTAAGTTCTACAAGCTTCCATTTACAAACTTTGGTATCATCCAATAAAAACCCCACCCACTTAATTTTCTGAGCTATTATAAAACTATGGACATCAATCATGTCAATACCACCCAACATTTTTGGACCAATTAGTGTTTTTCTTTTGACTCGCTCCCACTTAGAATTCCATAAAAAATGATATAGTGCAGCGTTTAGTGATTTAATATATCTGTCTGGAATGAAAACAGGTAAATAAGTAAAACTGTAGGTGAAAAGCGAAGCAATTAGTGTCTTAATTATACACACTTTACCTAGTAATGTAAGATTCCTCATTTTCCACACTTGGATAATATTTTTTGCTTTAATTATGATTTGAGGGAAGTTTACTTCAAATAATTTTGACAAGTCAGCAGGGATATTCACTCCAAGAAATTTTAATGAGTCAGTCACTTCAAGTCTAAAATTTGAAATGTAATCCATGTTTATAGGTTTTCCAATTTGCATTATGTGTGATTTCTCCAGATTAGTTTTACATCCAGAAATATCACCGAAAACATTTAAAATATTAAACAGGTTTTTAGCACTGGTACTTGATCCATCTGTAAACACAGTTGTGTCATCAGCCGCTTCTAGTACCGGTACCATACCCAAAGCGACATTAGCGCCGCATTTGCAGCGCATATATCACAGAGCACGGCGCTTTGGCAGAATCTCATGGTCTAGTGAGAATGACGTCATCGGTAACACCGCGCTCATTAAAATTTTAATGAACGATTATCAAAAATCTTGACCGTGTTTATCATGATAAAATATCAAGAAAGATGTAAAAAATATTCTATACTCAAAACTGCTCACGTATACAATGAAAGATATCTAGAAAATTACAAAAAATGCAAATTTCTGCTCTGGTGATCACATTCCCCGTAAGAGCTAATGTTAAAATTGTTTTTTTTACATCACTTTTTTTTGCGCGAGGATGGGTTTTTAATGAATGAGGTCTATTATATCGTCCATCTTATTGAAAACATCATACGCGCCATGAATAGTCTATTCGTTTCATTAATTTGCAATGAATTTAAAAAAGAGTGCAGAACAGGGCATAGTATTGTTGCCATTATGATCTAATTATTCCTGCTGTTGTTTTCTTGCGTCACTTTTATAAATTATTCTTTTTGTTCATGTAGGCTACTTGTATGACATTAGATCGATGATATGAGCAAGTACGGTAAATAATCATACAGAATGAAGAATAAATAAAACTGGAAGTCGCAGAATGGCAGACGCAGGAATTGACCGAAGCAAGTTCCGTGTTCTATGTTATAACATACTTGCCGAGTTTCATGCGTGGACCGATGTTGGTCGTTCATTTAATTATCCTTATTGTCCTGAAAAATTTCTTGAATCTGGTTACAGAAGGAAACTTGTTCTCAGCCAGTTAGCTGAATACAATGCTGATATCTTGTGTCTTCAAGAGGTTGACGAGAATGCTTACAGGTCTCTGTTTCTGCCCGAACTATCAAAACATGGATATTCGGGTACATTCGTTAGAAAATCGGATATCCCTGAAGGCTGCGCAACGTTTTATCGCAGCTGCAGTTTGACACTAATTGTTTCCGAACAAATAGTATTGAGCGATGCACTAAGATCTGAGCGCAATTCTGATTTGTATAATAAAATCAAATGTAACGAAAAATTGTTGGAGACTGTAATTTCTCGGGGAACTTCTTTGTCAATGATGCTACTGGAAACTACTGCTAATGAATTGCTTGTTGTCATCAATGTCCATCTCTTTTGGGACGACAGAGGAGGGCACATAAGAGCAATACAGTCGCAACTCGTAGTGCGGGAAATGGAGCATTTCATACAACGTTGTATGATTAGTGATACTAACTTAGCTAATAAGTTACTTGCCCGGATAGTTGCAGGTGATTATAACAGCGACCCATACTCCGCTGCTGTACAGCTAATGACAGATGGAAAAGTGCCTTCAAATCATTCGGATTGGTTTGCGATGGGTGAAGAAGAGTATCAGCCAGGGATCGAATTACTTGGCAAAATTAAATATCAAAGTGCCTGTGGTTATCCCGCCTACACTAGCTTTGTTCCAGAGTTTCGTAAATGTATTGATTACATTTTCATTGATCCAAAGGTCTTACAAGTCATTGAAATACACCCCCTTTCTCAATCATATGAAGAAACGACTCGATACACAGCTTTACCAAATGAGTTTGCCCCATCAGACCATATTCCATTAGTTGTCGATTTAAAATTTAATTTGCAATGTAAGTGATTATGTGCAATAAAAAGTACACACATGATTTGTAAAGTATATTATAATATATATATATATGTTTCAATTCTGTGGTTTACCATTCTGACAGGTAAATATTGTTTGCAATATTTTTAGATCACAAATTATGTTATGAACATTTTTTTATATCCACATTTTAGTTCCAATTCGAATTATGTTTAATCGATGTAGCAGTAATACCTCAAAATAACCAAAAACAAATTTTTTAATCTTTATTCAATTATGTGTTAAGAAATGTCGTTTTATTAACTACGGTATATTTACCTTGAGTTGATGAATAAATTTATTTATTTATTTTAAGATCACCTCAAAATACCTATTCATTAACATACATTATAAAGTTTTCTTGAGATTGATTTATAGTAACTAATTTTGTACAATGGATTCATTAATTTTGTTCAACCTATTTTTCATTTGCCAAAATTCCAGCAGTTTCTGTTTCTTTTCAAAAACTTCACAACTTTGTGTGATTAACCCTTCACATTATGTCATCGATATATGGTGAAATGCTAACCGTCCAACGGTCCAAGTCTTCATTTTATACGGGTCGGTCACTTTATCTAATAATATATATTAGCAGTCTTGTGTTGAGTGAGTCTGTATTGGACTTGTTGCTATTGTTATTTTTTATGTGTGATATTTTCATTCTTGCATAGCTAATTAAACAAGACTTGTACTTTGAATTGCTGCATGTGCTCAGGAGCCCACATAATGCATCAAAGTGTTTTTCTCTGAGTTCTAACTAGTCAAAATCTCCTCAATTTGGATCTAGGGTCAAATTTTCGGCGACTCTCCCAGACTGCACACCCATAGCTGTTAGTTTTTATATTATTCTCTTTTGCATCAATAGAAGTTTTGTCAGCAGGGTTTCTAATTCAAGGTGCTTTTTGTGATCTTTCATTTTTCAATATTCATTAATTTGTTTTCATTTTCATTGCATTCGATGTTCGATAAGAAATCTCGTGTTGGCTAACAAATAACTCTTTAATCTATCCTTTTGATCTAATACGTAGAATTGCGTATGCAGAATATTGGACAATCTGATGTCGTACTTTGTATTTTACACGATGGGAAAATACACCAATATTTCATTGATATTTTCTCCATATTCACATATATAATATGTCTGTATGTTAATAATGAAATTTTGGTAGCAAAAACAGTCAAATTAGTTGAAATAGTATGAATGATAAATAGCGAAAAACAAGTAATAGTCACGGATAAAATCTGTGTAATCTATTTAATTGTGGTTTCAAGTATAATAACTTGAATTCAAAAACTTTACAAAGCTCAAAATTATAATATAACGTTATGGTACCAGAAAACGGGACGTCATAATACCCGTTTCTACTCGCGGGGGTGGAGACGAACATGAACGTCAGTGACCCTATTACCGCCACCCTCGAATTTTGAATAGTGATATCTCAGATTGCCCTTGTCGCTTCGAACTAAGACTTTGCCACAATAAATAATGGTTTATCGCGCGTTATAAAATATCTAACTGGCTAACCAATATGCGAAACTAACAACGCTACAAGCTTCAAGGCAACTAAAAGTCACAGTGGCGTTAATTGGCACCGTGTATCTTATTACCGCCACCTAGATTCACTCCCAGAAATGTTTGGTAAACAACTCGTAATGATGTTGTTGAAAATGTAATTTATTATGAATTATTTCGAATAATAAATAAAACATATTTTTTTTATTATAAATACAACGTTAAATGTAATTAGGTACATTTTTTAGTATGCCTTCCGAAATCTAATTCATTTCTTTCTCTGTGTACCCTTCACCCTTACTAGATTAGGAATAAATGCCAACAGATACACTCTGGATTGAAATAAAGGGCATTTATTTATTAATAGTGATTATTGTTCAGCAAACTGTAAGGTACTATTTATAAAGAATGATATAATAAGCAATTTCATTATAAGCACTATGAATATATTATTGTAATCAAATAGTCACATTATCAAGTTTTCCATCTATGTATCATATTTTTCTTGCCGTTGCATGTCTCAATAGTGAAAATTTCTTGCCATTTGTCGCACCAAGTTTTTCTGTATGTATATTTCGAGCAAAGTGATTTGTACATGTTGTCATTTGAAGCCCAATTGAATTTAATGTATCTTGGCAAAGTATGAAATCATCCAAGACTGGACTGTAGAATTTGCTTCATGATTAATTTTCAAGGTCCTCGATCTTCCCTTAATCATACATGTAGTAACTGTTATATCACTCCAATTATCGCTTGTTTCAAGCCTTAGGCAGTTATCCACTTGTATGTTCTGGCTTCTATCTTTCAGTTGAAATTTTTGATGTGACGACAATATTCAACTAGCTTAATACATAAGTATTGTATTTATTAGATAGTCTCCTACATTGCATGCAAAACAAAAAAATGTTATGAAATGGACCTACTAGGAGTCAAACCCCAGACCTAAAGCCTGAAAATGCCATTGCTTCAACCATCTTATAGCCCAGGGATGGCGAACCTTTTTCAATGAATGGGTCAAAAACTATATTTTTATCGCGGAACAAAAGGAGAGTGGGTCACAGATATTTAATTCACTTTTATATCTATAAGAAACTTCTGAAACAAATCTTATAAGCTGGTGTTGGTCTAGTTTTGGGCTTTACTTATGCAGCACTTCTATCAGGGACTTTTTATGGCACTCGGTTTTATGATATTATGTCATTTATCATAAAATGCAAAGTAGCATCTAGTTCTCGTATAACCCCTAAAACAGGCTGCAGATGCACTTCCAAAAAAGACAGGCGTTGCGAGAAATGAACAGATCAATTTCATTGTTATGTCATAAATGATGTTAGGCCCAATAGCTGAATAACGGTACACAGCGGTGCATACATGCGTACAAGATTAGAGTTTTTGAAAATTACCATACCGGCCCGAAAATCAACATTTTGAATATGAGCGATTGCAGCCCTCCTTGACTGTCCAACTGACGGTAGATTATAATAGTTTAGTTATTGTTAGATTAATTTAAGGCCGGTTTTATAAATTTTTGTCACTGATATGTTAGCATTTTTATTTTATTCGTGCCTTCGCTTGGCGGGTCACAAATAAAACGCGGTGGGTCACTTAGTGACTCGCGGGTCAGTGGTTCGCCATCCCTGTTATAGCCTAATCTCAAAAATATTCTGTAAGAGTTCTGTTCAACTCTCCAATGAGTATCTTTTTTATTTTATTTCTTATTTATATACATTTAACTGTGAATCCTATAGTGAACTTGGGGGAGCTGACTCCGTATCGCTCCCCCAGTCTATACCGAATTGACTTTGTGTATATTGTATATATTATTTTGCATACCATTGTTCGTTTACGGTTGACAAAACAATAAATCTCTCTCTCTCTAAATATGACATAAAACTTTGGCAGACAAATTGATTTGCGCTCCCGAAGTATGTATAGCAGGATGGCACACAACCTGAACCCTAACCTGGAACACACTATGTTCAGGTTGTGCGCCATCTTGGTACACATACTTTGAGTGCTCCACTTGATTTGAAGTGAACACAATTATAATTAATGCAAAGTTAAAAGTAGCGCATCGTGTTATCAAATTTAAAACGCGCTTGCTTCAAAAAAAATTATTTGTAGAATAGCTAGATTTATCTTTTTTCGTGAAATTATTAACGTTAAAAATGTGTATCAAAATGCACTCAATATTTACTTTTTATTAGTTTTTAAAGTCATACAACTTTTAATTTAGCTTATATTTAGAAACAAAAATCACTCGCAATCCATACAAAAAATTTTTGGTTGTAGTGAAAATTTGTTGGCATGCATTAGGGGCATGTCCAATTTGGACATCCGATAGTATCGCAACCAACCCACAATATTTGTTCTTCTTGAGATACGTTATTCCAATTCCTGTCGCAAATGTGACATTCGTTATTGCCGTCCCAGTCAATCTTTGTTTTTTTGAGATGAGAAGAAGATGATGTGTGTGCATTTTCTGGGGGTTTAATTGTGCGCTTTTTTTTCGAGTTATTTTTTTTAATCATTTTTTGCTGGCACTCGAGATCTTCAGAAATTTGATTAGCTGTCAGTACTCGCGCTTTTGTTTTTACGCGAAGGGGTCGTTTTCTGTTTTTTGGGATGAAATCCTTGGGTGGTGTGAAAACATCATTCAGCTCTGCTGGCACCAGACCAAGAGTGACGAATACTTGCTGTTCACAAGACGGCTCATTTTCTTCATCCAGCTGAGTTATCATCCTTCACTTTTATCGAGAATTTGTTAAAGCTATGATAAAACTTTTTGATATACAGATATATTTAAAGCAGTAATGGCTACATACATACAGATATAGTGTAAAAATTTTGCTGTCTGAGGAGAAAATAGAAAACTATTCCTAATGCAGTAATGTTTGTTTTTCAGTTTCCACAGCCAATACCAGCAGTTGAAGACTTTTTGCTCTATCTGTCTATAATAGCCTAGCCTATACTGGTAGTCTTTGTTACAGATCGGAGATCGGTCTGCGATCATGAGTTTTTCTGAAAAAATTGATGTAATTCAAAATTTGCTAAATAGTAAGCAGAAATTGGAAAGAGATAGAGGAGTTATTCAATTGAAACAAGTTGTGGTATCATCACAAAAACCTCAAACCACCACTCAAAATGGTAAGATTTTATTGCTGCATTATAGTGTCTGAGTGTATGTAGTATATGATATATTAGTATATACCAGGTATGGCGAACCTTTTTCAATGAATGGGGCAAAAATTATATTTTTATTACGTAACGGAAGAGTGCAGGAGTGTGTCACAGATACTTAAGCAATGTTTGAATCTATGAGAAACTGTGACATCGACTGGTAACCCGATAAGAGGCAGTGGTTCGCCTCTTTAAGCCGTATTATCCCTTTTTTCCCCGGGATAAATATGTGAATCCTATCCTAAAAATACACCTTTAGGATGATACTATTTCTGATGTTTCATTAATTCTCTAATTCGTTGGCTTCAATGATCATAGTTTATTGCACCACAATGTTGATTACTGTAAATCAATAGACAGATTGACTAGCATGGATTAAGACATTCTATAGCATTGGTTCTTCTAGGCTGAAGAGAGGCTAAACCTGCTTTAAGTGTACCGAAGTCTGCGTTGAAATTATTTAACCAATAAGTTGGGTGAGCGAACACGTACTACTTCTTTTATCAATACCTTTCCATCTAAAATCTGTACGTTTCAAACCTTACTCTAGGTTTTGTTCGCTTTCCCGATTCTATAATCAGTTACTTTTACTTTTGTTTTTATCTATTTTTTTATCGTCTCTTGCTGATTATGGAGTCGAAATAAACTTATACTTATAATTATTTGATATAAAGGAAATCAGGCGAAAAATGTTGACGATTTGATAGTCAAATTGCAGAAGAATTTTTTATCAATTCTTTCGAAAGCTGAATCAACAAAAGAGTGGGAACCTATACAGGTTTGTTCTTAGTCTATTTCTCAAACTCTTGATAACATGAGATAATTTTATTTTCAATTCCACCATGGTATTGAAATGACCTCAAGTAAGGTTTAAATGTGCCATGCCCATATATATGTATTGGAAAGTTGATTGTCTTTTTTTCATCTGTGATTATTTATCTGTATAAGACTTATAATGTGTGCAGTTTACAGAAAACTGGAAGTAGTTCAATCTCCAAAACCTATAATCTTATTTATTATGAATATTTCAGGGTAGCCTCTCTGGCAGCAAATGTATTATTGACAATCTTGCGCAAATACTCACAGATGATCTGATACAAGAGCTACAGAAAATTTCTGAAAGGCTTCTTACGCATGATGAAGTTAGAGTCAGACTAGCTGCAGGTAATTATGCTACTAAAAGGCTCGGCGGTGTGGCGCATTGTGCTAAGTGTTAGGAATACGCTCGCCACCGCATCTCTGATTACCCTACGTGGGTTCACAGGTTCGAATCTCATACGTGGATGATCATGTGCGAGAGGATTGCTGGACTCCTCGCCGCCGTAGGGTGGTTCACGTAACCGCTGGTCGGTTACGGCTTCCTCCACCATCAAGTCCATGCTTCCGAAAACAAATAACTGGCTAACTAATCCTATACCCGACCTGGACTGGTAACCGACGAGAAGCCGTGGTTCGCCATATGATTAAGTCGTCTTGTCGGCTCTCCTCTCCCCCAGGATAAATATGTATCTCCTATCCTATCCTAAATTATGAGTTCAGACATTGAATGAATATCAGACCTATTATCATAAAGCTAGTTTGTGGAAGCACAGCTCACAGTAGAAAAATCATCCACTGATATCTAAGGATATTTGAGGGGCTACTGATTTTGGAAGAAATGGAATCTTTTTGGTTCAGCATTGGCTAACCAGTTTATTACTTCCTGGGTGAGGTATTGGACACAGAATTTACCTAATTAAATCAGAGATGTGTAACTTGTGATGTCAACACACTCAAGTCTAGCACTTTAATAAAAGCTGGGCAATGGCACCATAGCAACATTGTAAGGATCAGTGGCAGTAATGAACCAAAGAGACAATATACTTTGATATCTACATGCTTAATTGTCAAATAATATATATTAATAAACATGGCGGATGGCAGATTGATGTTGAGTTTTCAGTCACATTTCTCCTAGTAAATTTGCTAGGTGTACAATTTCTAGTTAGCATGAGCCATGAACATTCTAATCCTATCTGAGAACACTATAACCCACCTTTGTTATTGTAGAATGTGAATGTATTTATTGCAATCCTATATGGTTTGATCATTGCTTGCCTTCTTAAATTGTGTGATAGCCACGTAAAAACCAGTGATTGACATAAATTGTTCGTATATATATCCCCATTAGAAACAATTGCTGAATACTTGATACCATTTAGAGAATTTGATTTGCAATCATGTCATCAAAGAGGGAATTCAATATATCTTTGAATTTTTTTTCCTTTTTTCAGGAGAAGTCTTAGGTGCTTTGTGCAAGCATCATGGTGTGGAAACCTATTCTAAATGCTCTGATGTTGTATTGAATTTGATTAATAGTAATCTACATCGTGATATGGAAGTTGGCTTGGAACCTGATGCAAATGACAACACTGAAAATATGGAGACAACATCTGGTCGTAAAAGAGTAAGTGGCATAAAGAAAAAGGCTTAAAAAAACAAGATTTAAAGCATCTTAAATGATAAACTAGATTTTTTTTTTAATATTTGTTTATCGTATTTTTATCAAAACATTGCCTATCACTGGTAGCAGTAATCATACATATATTAATATTTTGAAATACAGGGTGTTTCAGTCGATGCTGCAACCATATATCATGAATCAGCAGGATGGCGTCACCTGGAAACAAGCATGGAATGCCTTCAGTTTATGATTGAAGGAAGTGGCAAAAATTTCAATCCTTATGTTACACAGGTTGGTTTAAACTAGCAAATGGTATTTTCATCCCTATTTAGATTTCATAAGCTTGGTTTCTGGTTGTTATACTTAGATCTTTTGTCTGGAATAGAAATATATATATGTATATAAAAGAAGATTGGTTTCCAATGGTTTGTAGCTGTATTATTGTATACAGACATAGCGTTCCGGCCTTCTGGAGCAGTGTATCCTAAGAAATTTACCACTAATTTTGTTGTGTGTCTCAAATGAAAAATTTTTGCATTTTTTTTTCAAGGATCTGCTTGATTTGATATTCAGTGCATTGACTCACGAGAACAGATTTGTGAGAGAAACTGGTTATTATGTTTGTGCTTCATTAGTAAACATTGGACAACCTGATGTTAATGAAGGTAAGCTATATGGAATTTATTATTCATAATCATTTATTAATTTATATCGATTCGGTACACTCGGGAGTCGGGACTCTGCTTACTAATTTTATTCAAACATTTTGTATAGTATAGTTTTGAATAGGTTTTGAAAATTCGAACACCTGTGATAAATGGAAAGACTCAGCACAGCGTATTACGGTAAATCAGTCAATGTGGAGTTGTTAATAAAACACCAATTTCATTTAACTCGATCAACGAACTTGCTGTTTTCTATATTTTCTTTGTGGAATCGTTTATAACAGGGTGGTCCAAAACGCGGCTCTCAGAACAATTTTAGGTGCATTAAATCATTAGCAGAACATTTTTGAGTTATTTTTAATTTATTGCAACTGGGAATAGCCCTTTCCAGGATTCATGTTTGTTAAATCAAATCGATGAGATGGGTTGCGCATTTCATCTAAACTTCTTACCTTAAGCTCACGTCAAGTAACTCCTCATTTGGAGAGACGATTTGTGCCTTTATTTTAGTAAAAACACTCCTCTATTTTCAAGCGTTGGCCATGTGACGAACCACAGAGCTGACTTAGCGCCACGCGATCCAGTTTATTCAAGCTGGGTCTGGAATCCCAACTTAAGAGGACTTGGTTGTTCGCAAGTAATAAAATTAGTCAAATATAACAATTTGTAATACAATGAGTGTAAAAAAGGTGACCGAGGTAAACTGTGAGGAAACGTATTTCCTAATCCACAAGAACTTTAAACAAACGTGTCTGGTGTGTTTTCAAGTAATATCTGTCACCAAAGAATATAATTTGAAGCCACATTACATAACCAAACACGAGAAAGTATCACAGTATTTCTCGAAAAGCATTTTTAAAATAACTGAAGGCTTTATATATCTTCCTTAAAAACTGATTCGACCGGTGAACTCTCATGTCTAAATATGTGTAAAGGGAGTTAACCAGTGATGTTTTGATCACTTTTGGGTTCTCTCCGACTGCGGCCCGCCCGCGAGACAGTCTTAAAAGATTTTGCGGGCCGCCAACTTCGCAACCTTGGACCACCCTGGTTTATAATATTTCCATATTCTTGGCTGTGTATGATCTCTTGTTCGACGAAAATATATTTTCTAACTTCCTTTTACACTTGGCATTGTTTTGCTTTCAGAATCTAATCCAGATCACAATAGTATTTTGAAATACGGAGAACAGTTTTCTACGTATCTTGCAAAGGGCCTTGCCGATAACTGGTCACAGGTATAAAAAAGTGCTTTATCCTTTATCCATATTTTTGGAATGTATGACTAGGTAGCGGAGATGTCCAAAACGAAGCAAATAATCACCTAAATATAATTGGTGGTATTTGATATGGTAAATATGATTTTAAAAAGAATTTAGGATATTTTATTTGACAGTTTGATATTCAAAATAGTAGATATGTATTATGGAAGAATTTGGGATATTTCATGTGACGTTTGATGATCAGACAAGGCATGCGCTGGCAAAATAGAAAATTAATCAAAACAATCTTTATCTAAACTATTATCAGTGGCATAGTTTCGGTATACAACTAATTATTCGGGTTACAGTTTGACCGAGAACTTTGCAATACTGACGATTCCTGCAAACTTTTCTTTTGAACATTTCGTAACTCTGAATATATTCAATATTCGGAAAGATTATTTTAGAATGTATACAGGATAGTAAAATATTGATTTCGGCCATGCCTATTGAAAATCAATTTCTATGCTGGAAATGGTAACTGCAAGAGAGCCTCTTGCTCATCTCATTATTAAGTTATATTAGAATGCCCAAATCTCATTCAAACTGCGTCCAATTTAATATGCTAGCGGTATTATTCACACTTTTCATTTGCTTATTTCAGGTTCGACTTGCATCTTCAACAGCTGCAAGACATTTTTTGATGTCAATTCCTGATATTGATATCAGGAAAAAGTTTTATCCAACTCTTCTTCCCAGATTGTGCTTGAACCGGTTAGTAGCTGGAATATTCAAGGTTTTTAACTGTAATTGAAATATTTAAAGTTTTTTTTAAAATGGAATATAAATATATATTTTTATTTTAATTCTGTTTTCATTGGTATTTTGGGTAATTTGAACTTTATTAATAGGTTTAAGGTTTTAAATATTGCAGATACTACGTTGCAGATGGGGTTAGAATATATTCCCAAGAAACTTGGAGGCAACTCTCAGAAGGCAAAGGTCGTGAAATGGTTGAAACATATATTGACGACGTCATTGAATATTATATAAAATCAACAAAGGCAGATAATCATGCAGTTAGAGAAGCAGCTTGTGCTTGCATTGCTGAACTAGGAGGGAAGGTACATATTTTTCTAGCTCTTGAATTCAATAGAATAGCCATTTACACTCTTGCTACAGCATCCTTGCGTAATACGCATATGGATCCACCTGCGCAAAGGCATAGAGAGCAAGGAAAGGTACCGTAGTTAGTTTCACGCAACCTCAACTGTTAGTCAATTTTATTGTAATTGCCTTTGCACAGTTTGAATGCTGGACTGGCCTGACTTGTGTTTCAGTAACTCCTAGCGGCAAGTATTTTTTCCTGGAAACTTTTGCTCAGTGGAGTTACCTATTTCACTTTTATACTGTATTGCCAAGTGACATGTATGAAATTATGAATAATCATGCTGGCGGCATATTCATTTCCATGTTTTTAGGTAAATCCACAGGCCTTAAAGCAACACATTGTATCATTATTGAATGCATTATTGGAATGTTTTCGTGATGACAGTTGGCCAGTCAGAGATGCAGCATGTGTGGCTTGCGGAAATTTCATTTTAAATTTTGCAGGTATTGTCGTTTTTCTTAGTTTCAGCATGTTTCATAAGGAAACTGGAAATGTTGCTTTATTTAAGCTATTTGCAGCTAATTTGTGACTCATTAAAATGTAAATAGTTTCTGGCATCAATATCAGGTTGAAATATATTTAGGATAGCGTAGGATTCATACGGAGGAGAGGAAAGCTGATAAGACGTCTTAATCATATAGAGAATCACATCCTATCATCCGGTTACCAGTTCATGTCGGGTATTGGATTAGTTAGCCAGGTATTTGTATTTGGAAGCATGGACTTAATGGTGGAGGAATCCGTAACAGACCAGCGATTAGGTGAACCACCTCACGACGGCGGGGAGTCCAGCAATCCTCTTGCACATCCTGCATGGGATTCGAACCTGCGAACCCACACAGGGTAATCAGAGGTCCGGTGGCGAGCATATTCCTAACGCTCAAGCACGATGCGCAACACTGCCCCTGAGCTTTTGGTGTTTGTTATAAATTTGATTGCAAAGATCTTTACAATTGTTTTTCATCTTTTAGAAGAGGCAAGGAATGTGAAAGATGAACTGTATCAACTATTTCTAACAAACATGAGAGATCCTATATCATCGGTTAGGCAAGGAGCAGCGGTCGCAGTTGCGAATTATGTAAAAGCATATGGTATGATAAGTAGGCTTCAATAATAGATTTCAAACGCTTCTACACAGAATTTTTGAAAAGCATTTTATTGAATATGCTGCATAACCAAATGTTGGTAACTAAAATAGCATTCAAATGATGATTTATGGTCCCATTATATTGGTGATTACTGTGTCCACGTAATTCAATTGGCATTTAATATCTACCATCTTATTAGGTGATGACGCCCTAGAAAAAGTTATTGAAGAAATAAAAGAAGGCTTGAAAGAAATTGAGAAACAGCCAGAAAATACTGAGAAATATTCTGCTATTGATAAATCACCTGCACAGTTTGGTGTTGTTAAGAAATTGAGAGACAACGATGTGGATCTACACACAAACCAGTGAGTTTACTCTCATCAATAGATCTGTTCTATTAGGTTGTTTTTAGTCAAGGATGTATTTCTGTTTTTCATGACAATGGTATTTGGTAACCTTCAGGAAACGATGGTAGGGATTACCGGATTTAATAATTAGTGGAAGATTCTATTTAACAGTACAATTCCGGGTACTTCCAAAGTATGTGAACCAAGATGGCGTACACCGGAACGTAGTGTGTGTACTAGGTTAGGCCATAATTTGATTCCAATTTTCCTTATTTAGTTCTATTGCGAGTTCGGGGACTAGCCATGTGATTCTTGTAGTATTTGTACATGAAATCATAGCTTAACCCTAACCTGGTACACACACTATGTTCCAGCGTCCACTATCTTGGTTCACATGCTTCGGGAGTACCCAACTCCAAACCAAATTAGAACAGGCTAATTTATTTTCTGTTTTGTAGGACAATGTACTCATGCGGGTCACTAGCTCCAAAAATGGGACGAGGAAGAAATGTAAATTCAGATAAAGATACAAATAAACCAAGCTCTGGTGGAGGGTGCAGTGATTGCAGGTTTCAGAGATCATCTGAACCTTGGGAGAGATCAGATGGTTGTGTTTTTCTCATTTCTGAATTGTTGTCTAATTCAGAAAAACAAACAGCGGATCCAGGTATGATCTTCTGTATATCTTATATAGTATTTAAATAAAAGTGTTCAATAAGTATAGTGCTGTTCTCTTAATTTTTTAACGTATTTTACCTAGCCACTATATTTAATGATACTTTTGTGCGAATTCAAAACTTTTTAATAATTTGAGAACAAAATGCACCACATTGATAACACTATGATATAAGGTTCAAAAATTATTGTCACATATTGAGATATAATTCTATTTGTCTAGAACTTGCAACCCGAATTGCAAACCTTCTTCCACTAGTTGTTGAAGCGGCAAAATTTCGAAATTTTACGCAGCATTCTGTTTTCATTGAAACTATTTGTCGGCAAGTAAGTTTATAGGTAGGAAAATTAGTTTAATAAGAACTGATTCAGTTTATATAAATGGTAGTCATATGTTATTCCATTTTTTTGTAGATTCTGAGAAAAAAATCGTAGAGGATAGAGATTCATAATTAGAATGAGCACTACTATTATCTTTGTAAATTGAATTGGAATTGGTAAATCATACAAATGTATATATAAGCCAATATGACTGAATTTTTAAAATCAGAATATCAAAAAACCCATGCCATTTTTCAATTTAATTTCCACTTCCAAATGTCTGAGGTGAGTAACAAAGTTTATATTTCAGCTTCCGATTATTGGCAAACGACTTGGAAAAAGGATTTTCAAATCTAATTTGGAGTCATTTTTTGACATCATTTTCTATGGTCTGGTAAGTATTATTTCATATTAAATGTTTACTTACCGTAGTTATTTCTGAGGAAAAGGAAAAATTTGTTGCCGCACGACTTATAGTTTCAGCTAATTGGATTTTATGCATAGTACTAATTTTTCAATCGATAAGAAGGAAATTATATTGGAGGAAACAAACTTTTAGGTATACATGCCATATGTTCTACTGAATGATATGATAAAACACTTGCTGTATTGAAACTTTGTTGACTAGCTTTTATTAATCCATTATTAATGTGAAGCCAGTTGTCCAATTCATGGAATTTTGTGTCTTAGGATAAATGTCTTAGATTCAAGCAACCATACATGTTACTCAAGATGTAATAATATGAGTAGACCATTTTGAAAAGGTTGCAGTCCTTTCAGAGAATAGTACCTTTATGCATATCAGTTATTTTTTTAAAAACTGAAAAAGTCGCCGGTAACGCATGCAAATGCCTTCTGCTAAAATTGCCGATTATTTTCATCAGCGTGGCGTGTTATTTAGGTCGTAAACACCTTTACATTGATGTTTATCCTCTCTAAATCACAAATTTGGGCCACGGTAACAATGATAATTATTTTTATTTTGTACTCGCAAGGAATTGTGAAAACTGAAAAAGTCGCCAATAACGCGTGCAATTGCCTTCTACTAAAATTGCGTAATGTTTTCACCAGCGTGTAGTGTACACCTTTTAGTGTAGAAATGTTTTGTTGGACACAATTAAATTAATACATAAGACATTTTAGAATCTCGTAGTTGTCATGGATTGAATATTTTATGTGCCAGAAAATTTATAATACGCTGAAAAGTCGGCTCTATTAACGAGTGCGCGTCATCGTGGTGACTGTTACAGACGGCACTGGAAATTTCCGATTTTGAAATCCTGGCTGCGCGCCTGGTACAGCCAAACGACAAGATACTTTCCCCAGTTACAGCAGGCCCCGTGGAATTATAACTTGATGTTTTAATCAATGGTGTGATTCTAATGGGACATATGTTTCAGCAAAGTGATGTCCAATTAACAAGCGCTGCTGCGGAAGATTGTCTACTGGAGTTGGCAACTTTTCTAGGGCCATCAATATTAAGAGGGAGAATTGAGCAGTTTAATGGAAGGTGAGATTTTTGTTGATAAGTTGTTGTACAGTGCAATAATTTGTGTCAGAGCTAATTTGATGTGATCACAAGCTCTGTTATATGGGGGCCATATTTCTGTATTTATTCAAAAAGAATCAGAACTCAAATATACAGATACGGTTTTAGAATCAATAACTTGCAGGCTTTTTAAATGGCTCATTGTGTTTTACTATGGGATCGTTATCATACAGGTGACATGTTGAATTGTTATAGTGTTCGCAGGTTCGAATCTTCTAAAAAAGAATATCTACCGGTAACTAGATAGAAAATCATAGTTCATCATAATATGGGAATACAATTTTATATTTTTCAGATTCCTTGAAGAATATGATAAGATTAATCGTAGACATTACATAAGTGACCCTGGAGTTGGGCCCAATCCTGGAAGTCAGACTCCTTTCCCAAATCCAGGGTTTGTTCCTACATTTCCAACTTCATCCAATAACAATGGCATTCCCATGACACTGCCTCATTTTGAATAACATCTATAGTAGCGCGTGTACAATGTGTGCAATCATGTGAATGAAGTAATCAAACAGGAGAGAAAAAAGTGGATCATATTGTTAATATAGTGATATATTTTCATACTTGTGAAAATGATGAAAAAGATATTTTTGTTTGAAAGAAAAAGTATGAGATGGTGGTGAAATAAGGACTACTGTTTGTACTGGAAACTTCTTAATTTGAATTCAATAACTCATTTTGTTCAATTGTGTTTTCCTTCTGAACTGTTTGTATGTTCATATTGGGTTTATTGCTATTATTCTGCTTTGTATGCTAGCAAATGAATTAGATTAGAGAATGTGTGGAGTCTCCATTTTTATTTTAACTATATCTTGGCAACTTTGTGTTTTACCCATTCCCAAATTAGTGTTTGTCTGCAGTCTGCACCCTATCTTAATAAATCTTTTTTGCACTTTTCCATGCTTTTCTGGCATATCCATTACAGCTGCTTAGAGAATAGACTTGGGTCGGCTAGGCCAGGGGTTCCCAAACTTTTTTGACCACCGCCCCCCCTACAGTAGTTTATACAACTTCATCGCCCCCCGGCAATACAAAAAAATGTAAGGTCAGAAACGAATATATTACAGACCAAATAAAGGACAAATCATAGTTTATAGTGTTTTTCAATGAGATAGATGGTCTTGTGTTTCAGCGAGTTTTTTATTATATCTAAAATTACCCCGTTTACTGGTGGAAAGGCGATTTCGTTGTTTTGATAGCAATAGTAGCACGGCTGATAACCACTTTTTTACCATATATATATATATAATAGGTCGGAAATGAAAGAATCCAGGGTTCTACCTCCTCAAAATCCGCCGCGTACTCTTGCCTATAGCATTTCACTCCCTAAATTCACCCCATTCACATTAAATAATGAAAACAAAGTTAATTTTCCAAAACTTATAATTTTCGTACATCTCATTCATTCCTACAGCCTGATGACTTGCACCAAAATACTTCGGTAAAATTCATCCCCGTTTCCTCATCCTACCACATCCTAATCAGCCATTTGTTTTTGGATTCATGGACTCTGATGTGGAAGAAGCCGTGACCGACTACCGGCTACGGCCCAGGGGTCGGCAAATTTTATGTCAATCGCAGGACAAAATTCAGGGTTGCTAGCCTTTTGCGGGACGCATATATTTTTTGAAAGTTAAAAACGGAACAGCGCGCGAAAACTGCGACAATTCGTGAACTCAACTCAGTCGTGTTATTAAAAAAATATTACAATGACATTTAATATTGCTGCATCACGCTGGATAGCGTTACAACGCCAAGATTGGAACATTTTCTGGATGGGAATCCCTAATCCCAGTTTTTTGCTTGTTCTTTGTAATGTTCAATTTCGAAAATAGTTGTTCGCACAAATCTGTACTTCCAAACATCGAAGTGAATATTTTCGCATGATTTGTGAAATTTTGATGAAGGTTTTCTTTAAGAAGATACATTCTTAGAATTATCAGAATGATAGTTTGAAACAAATATTCCATTATACAGGCAACAACTCGCGAAACCACTTTTAAAATAAGCACCGGAAATTTTAAAATGGTAAAATATGGGTAACATTTTCCGCGGTCAAAGGTCGCGGAAAGGTCCATTCAGTGAATCGTCCCGGGCCAGATTATTTTACTCCGGCCGTATTTTGCCGACCACTGGGATACACAAACCGCCGTACCTTACTGCGAAAATGAGTCCAGAAATCCTTGTGATAATCGCCCACGTTATTCAAGCCTGCGAATGCACACAGAGTACAGAATTAAGTGCACGATGCGCCGAACATAAAACAGGTTTCGCGAAATCGCCTCCTTTGACTTTTTCGACCCCCTCTGTATCGTTTTCGCCCACTGGGGGGGCGATATCGCACACTTTGGAAATCACTGGGCTAGGCCACACTGTGGTAATACATTGGCTCAGTGGTGTGGCGCATCGTGCTAAGCGAGAGGACTTCGCCCGCCACCGCATCTCTGATTTCGGTACCCTGCATGGGTTTTGCATGTTCGAATCCCATGCGGGGATAATTATGTGAAAGAGGATTGCTGGACTCCCGACTGCCGTAAGGTGGCTCACGTGACCGCTGGTTGGTCATGACGTCCTCCCTCCACTATCAAGCCCATGCATCGGAAAACAAATGCAGTACTGATCCCATACCCGACATAACCAGACGAGAGGCCATACTTCGACATACGATTAAGCCATAGCTTCTAAAACTTCCCTCCAGAAGGGTTTTAAAATAATTTGTCGATGTCATTGAAATTGCAGATCTTACATGAACAGGAGAATAAATTATATAGTCATCTTAATAACGTTTAAAACGCACAGGAACAGGAAAACAAATTAAATGGTAATTTCAATAAAGTTTAAAGCGTACAAAATAAAAATATGTTTGCAACGGCCTGGAAATAAATATGTTAATTCCGACTCCGTGAAACAATACTTGTGGGAACCGAAACCCTCTTGGCCTCCCTTCAGTATTCTGGAGATGGTATAGGTACCGGTACGGTTTTAGTATGGGATCAGTAAAATTTAAATCTCTGTCCAAACTTGAGACTGTGGTGAACACTGAAATACAAAATGTTGATAATTGGCTTAAAGCAAATAAATTATCTTTAAATTATTCAAAAACAAAATTTATGCTTTTTTTGTAATAAGGGAATAAATACTACTTACTTCAAACTCTCTTTAGGTAGTAAAATAATTGAGCGAACCAATAGTTCCAAATATTTTGGGGTCACGGTCGATGATAATCTAAGCTGCAAACCGCATATTAGTCAATTAGATAAGAAGTTATCAAAAACCGTTGGTATTTTATAGACTAAGACACATTTCAATTTCAAAAAAGCTTAGAGTAGTTTATTATAGTTTATTGCATTCGCGACTGCAATATGGAATTCTTAGTTGGGGATCAGCCGCCAAGTCTTCATTACAGCTAATCCAAGTCTTCCAAAATAAAAGAATTAGGTGCATATCATTTTCAGAGAAGAATCGTATAACTAACGTCCGACTTTTCTGTCAAAATGAAATTTTACAGCTTTCAGACATGCATACTTTGGAAATTGCTGAATTTATGCATCGGCATGAAAATGGCCATCTCCCCCTGCTTTCAAGGACTATTTTACTCATCTAAATAATGTAAATAAGTATGGTACCAGATCCAGAGAATTAGATCCTATTTTACACCGCAGGTTTCCACTGATGTTGGGAAGCGTATAAAATATATTGGCGTACAGGTTTGGGGTGATGTCCCATCTGAAATAATAAAAAAATGTGTCTCTATCTCTTTTTACTAAGAAAATGAAAAGGCTTTTGCTAGCAATGTATTCAGATTAGTTAACTTTTTTTTTTTATTAAATCCGTCAATAATATGATTGATTGTGAAATATATATTATTCGTTTAGTTTGCACGGTATGTTAGTCGTTGATTTGCATTATATATTCAACTTCCGATTCTATATCAGTGTGTATTTCCTATATTTCCCCCAGGGCCAGGATTAGTGTATACTGTTTGATCGTAAATATATACTACTACTAGATGTCCAACTCCGCTCGCCGTATAATAAACAAACAACGGCGATGTTGCACCTCCAAGTGGCGGGCGTCACGGTCGATTTGGTTCTGACAAAGTGCTTAACGACGACGACACTCCTGCTTCACAGGTCGCAAACTCGACCTGTTTCTTGATGACTGACCGAAATATTTGCTGTAGGGCGTGGAAAATTTGATAAAAATGAACAAATAATTGTGAAAATGAGGACACAGTCTGTCCTGCAAATGACCAGGATAATGTGACAACTTCCTTGTCGAAAGAAAGCAAGGCATCAAAAATGCGATGCATTTCAAAAAATGTCAGTCAGATGTGGGTAAAGTGGTAACGAAAATGAGTACTTTGCACTTAATATAAAAAAAAAAACGCTTAGTAGCTCAGCCTTTTGGTCTCATTCCATCTCAAGTATTGTAGCTTTTACAGAAGTTTTTTCTCCACTTGACCTTTAATTAGGGTTACCATATTTTTGTGACTTCAAATCGGGACGCCTCGAAAGACAACGACCCCTTAGCTGTGATTTTATAACTTCACATTTTCCGATTTCACTACATAGGCCTACATTCCTACATTTAAAGCTGTCTCGGCTGTCTTTATATTGACCATATTGTTATCGAAATTTCACGCGCATATTCTCTGTCCAAATATCGGGTTCAGTTCGAAAAATAGGAAGGAATTGACGTTAACGATACTGGTACAAATAATTCGAATTTAGACTAATTAGTATCGGTTTTACATGCGATACGTCTGCCATCAATGGGAATCAGCGGGAAACAAACGCATTCACCTTCAGTAAGTAGGCTAGCGCTGCGCTACACAGAAACAACAGTAACGAGAACATGTTTGTGTATTATGATGAAAAAGCGGGACTTTTGGCTGACTTATCGGGACGGCGGGACAAAACGCTGAAAAGCGGGACTGTCCCGCCTAAAGCGGGATGTATGGTAAGCCTACCTTTAATCAGGGCTTCCATAACGTCCCTATTTTTAGAATTTGTCCTTATTTTGATGGTCTTTGTTGTAGGAAATTTTTTTTCCTTATTTCTAAGAAACATCCTTATTTTTTGCGTGTGTCTTTATTTTTAACCTTATGAATGAATATACCGGAAAATTAAACTTTGAATTTAGCATCGATCTGAGACTTTATAAGAGATAAAATGAGTAAACGTAAAAACGTTTGCCGTGATGAGTATGAGAAAGAAATTCAGCGGCGTCAAACGAAACGAAGGGCCAGTGATTTGCGCACTGCAGCTTTTGTGAATGTGACAGCAATCTGGAATTCATAGGTAAAGCTGCAATTTCCGTTAACAATGCAACCCAGAAACACAAGGCTCTACTCAAGAAATTAATCAAACCAATCTATTAATAAATTTTTTAAGAGTCAATGATTATACAAGCCTACAAGGGTTATCTCAATACATGCAAGCAGCTGAAATTTATTTCCATTATCACATCATTGAACATCCGACACTTGATATAAATGAAAAACACTACTTAAAAAAGTATTCAAAAAATTAGAGCAAATGTACACGCAAAGTACTGGAGCCAAAATAATAACAACAAGATGGACAATAGGACTCATGGAATACGAAAACAATTGAAAAAACACAGCAGCTAGAACAAAGTTTAAGATGTATGTGATTACAGTCAAGTTTCCGTACTCCTGAAGTATGCGTACCTAGAAATGAGGACACCGGAACGTAGTATGGGTACCACGTTAGAGTTAGGCCATAATATTATTCAAATTTTCCTCATTTTAGTTCAATTACGAGTCTAACCAAGTGAGTTTTGTAGTATTTGTACCTAAAAGTATGGCCTAACCTGGTACACATACTATGTTCCGTTGTCCGTCATCTTGGTGCACGTATTTCTGGAGTACCCAAGTTTTTTTCTCAATAATCGATAGAAATACAAATTATTATTTTAATTACTAATGTGATTGAACACTGAATATCGAGTTATGTAAATAGTGGTATAGATGTTTTTTAAGGCTTTGGGAGTGGTTCTTAGCCGGGATAAAGGGGCAATTTAGGTTCTATCACGTGGACATTGCTACATATTTCTTTTTCTTTGCTGCTTCTCAATCAACTGGAGCACCGATGGATTCCCAGCCGCGCGACCTGCAAAATATGCATCTTTTAAACTGAAAATCTTTTGGCGATTAATTCAATATTTAGGGCGAGGCCCTACGGGCATAGCTGAAGATTTTAAAGAGGTGGGGGTTCTGAAATTTTCAATTGACAAGTTGGACCAAAACACCTAGTAGAAGGTCTGATCGGAAGCCGGCAAATGTTAGTTTATAATAGTCCCGATGGTCTAACTCTAAAAAGTGTTTCAAGCCACGAAAAATTTATATTAATAATATAGTAAAAAAAACAATATAGAAGACTTTTATTTTAAACTTAAAGGGGGGTCTGACAGAATTTGGTTTAATATGGTATACCACATGTTGAAGGTACCAGTATCTGAAGCCCTTCATACGCTGGAGAAGCAATAAAATGTTGTTGTTTTTTAAATATGAGTACAAAATGTGTTGCATGTAGCTGTATAGCATTTATTTTGTTACAAAATCCTTGAGCTAATCACCTGTTGTAGACTTCTAGTGTGTAAAATAATTTATGAAATTTTGACTGATCTACTGCAGTCTTTTGTCTCCGGATGTTTCAGAGAGTAGTAGTAGATTTCCGTTTTTGAGGGAAGCCCCGTCAGTAGTGCTCTTGCATATGTCAAAAAGGTATTCTGCAGTTTGCAAAACTAATTTAAAAACACTCGACAAAATAATTCAAAATTTTTTGGCACATCTAAGATTATATATATATATATGTTGAATCCATGTTTAGATAATAGGTCCTCTCTCCCGGGATAAATATGTAAATCCTATCCTTTCAAACCATCATTATGATTCATCGCATACAACAATATGTTTTTTGAAAGTACCGGTAAAGAATTTAAGCCTAGTCTATCATAGGTATTTCTGCACTAATTTTTTATTACTGAAATTAAATTAAAACTTCTATGAAGATAGAGTGATCATTGAATTATCTGATTTATATTTAAGTTTCCGAAACACAACTGAAAACTAACGAATAAACTAACGAGTTCAAAAACGCGAAAACGGGGTAATGTTTACGACCACGCTTGAAAATCTGTCTGCGTAACGACTAACATACCGGTCTGAGTGAGAAAAGTGTCTGAGCGGAAGCGAAAAGGGAGCATTGTTACGTCACTCTCCGCATCTTGCTGATTGGCCAATGTCACGAAGTAAACAAGGAAGTCGATGCTCGGGGAAAGGTCCATTCTGTTTGTTTCTATTTTATACTGAGCCCGACTCCGTTATGGCGATCTGTAATGTACTAGATCACAATGTCGCACTGGTATCATATATTTTTTACACATGTCCTCTGAACTTTATCACATTGTGCTTTCAGTGTTGAATCATAATATATATACAATATATATATTTATATTGTAGCGAATAATTCCGACTTGGTAACAGTGCTAAATTGGTCAGGAGCCTCGATGACCTTCAACGGTCCTGCATACTGGCCAACACAAAACAATGTGTGAATTGGATTACTTCTATAAAAATTATCGATATTGTTTTATACTGTTTTTCATTGTTTTACACCTCAATGATTCGAACCTGCGAACCCACGCAAGGTGAGGTGGCGAGCGTATTCCTAACGCGATTCGCCGCCTCATATAATTTAATTTTAATATAACCCATATAATTTGATATATTTATCCCAATTATTGAAATTTTCACGTAAAATCGAAAATATAGACTACGTAAAATAATCAACGTTACTCTCCGTCTCCGAGCCTTCCAGTAGTAAAGCGATAGGAAAACCAGTTTGCTCAGCAGCCTGGTACGCCGCCGCAGTAGTTAAGTTGCCCATATCGAGTTAGCTGTCAGTTCAAATTTCCCGATTTTCTGCTAGCTTTACTTGCCTTTAGAGAAATCCATTCCGATTATTTTTTACTACAATGTGCTCAGTGATATTTGGAAATAGATCAATATGGATATATCTACACTATATATATTTTTATTACAGTATAAAAATATATATTAGAAAAACATTGTGTATTGGGCGTTATTATGTTTCTTGTTGTTTTCGTCTATTTTGTGCTGTATTCTTCTGTTCTGCACTATTTTTATCTGTTTTCCACATTTTGTTTATTACAGTATAATATATCTCATTGATTTTTTCAACATGGCCTGCAAGTGTGCAAAATTTTGTGTCACTGCACCCTCACAATAAATGTTCTCTTTTCCTCGTTTCTCTCTTTAAATTCTGTCATGATATTTAAAAACATACTGCTGTACTGCCTACCACAATGAGAGTTCTCTCGGTGTGACATCTGATGTAGCCTATGCGGAATAGAAATAAAACAATTTCATTGTGCGCTGGCAATGATGTACCGGTAACTAAAATTCATTCCTGTTATATGTTTTCGTCTAAATACTGTAAATAGTAGTTTTAGTTCAATTTTTCAATTATCCATCATCCTAACAGTATATATGGTTTCACAATTATTGATTGATTTTGAAAATGATTGATAGGGGGAGTGATTGATTATGTAACTTAAATTTCTAATTTCATGGGTATTATGCGCATGTAACATTGTTCCCTAGGCAGGCTAAGATTTGAATGCTCTGGTCAATTCACGATGGAACGCAATTGAATGTTTTAGTGAAACAGGATTGCAGTTTGTTATGCAACTGACATGTACTTTAGAGAGCTCAACTTTTTGGACACAAAATGGACATACAAATCGTTTTTTTTATTATTATGTTGCTGTTTTTAGAATTGTTGTTAAAAAAATCGCGTTTTTCTTTAACTACTTGAGCAATTGCTTTGAAATATCCAGTGGCTGAAGATTGTATTTTTTGCTAAAAGGCTATTACTTTTATTTATTTCTGTGGGCTCTATGAAATTCATTTTTGTGTGATGATGCCAAAAATTTCGCACCTTGTGGCGGTCCTGCTTTCGCGTTAGTGGTCAGGCGAAGTCTGTGGTATCGATAGTTTACTATGACTCACCCATAATACTTCCCATAATACTTCCTTTTAGCTTTAGTGTCAATATATTCGAGCAACACATCTTGTGTTTTTTTTAATCCTTGGCAATGGACAGTCTCTTGACCATGCGAAAGAGGTTGTAATAATGTAGGAGATACCTGAAATGTAAATGCCTATGCTTAGGGGGAATAATATATTGTGACAAAATTATATTTTCTATGTAGCACTATACCGCTGTACATGTATCTATGATTTTGGCCTGGATAAATAAAAATGATGACTAGAGGAAGATGCGTAGCTGATGTTAAAAACATTGCCAAGAAGAGAAGAATAAAGTCAAGACATGATAGGTCGAAAAGTGGAGAGCACAAATCGAAACGATCGCGAAATACTACCAATAATACATCTGTCAATGATGTTGAAGCAGACAAATATTCTTTAATTGCATGTGGGTCATTTAACCCCATCACAAACATGCACCTTCGTATGTTTGAAGTAGCAAAAGACTATATCAAGTACACTCTGAATGCTGAAGTCAGCGTAGGCTTGGTTTCTCCTGTATCTGATGGATACAAGAAACAAGGCTTAGAAATCTCATCTCACAGAAATAAAATGTGTTCTTTAGCAATTAAAAGCAATAATTGGTTGGAAGTATCGAGATGGGAAAGCAATCAGAAATCTTGGACACCCACTATAGAAGTTCTTCGAAATGCTAAAAATAATCTGAAAGTGAACAACAACCTTTCAAAGCTTATGCTGTTATGTGGTTCAGACTTTTTTGAATCTTTTAATAGACCCGGTCTATGGTTGGCAGAGGATATCAAAGCAATAATTAATGAATTTGGCCTTCTTGTGATTGAAAGACCGGGTTACGATTCCGCAAGAATTATGGCCGACAATACCATGTTGTCAGAGTTACGTGATAGTATACATATAATAACAGATCCAATTAACAATGATACAAGTTCCACCGTTGTGAGGCGTGCTCTGAGAAAGAAGGAAAGCATCAAATATTTAACTCCTGATTCTGTAATCGATTATATTATGAAACATAATTTATATTCCACAGAGGAATCAGAGAATAAAAATGCAAGTGAAGTATTGGCTCCTTATCAGGACCATACATCGTAGAAATATTTTTCTTTACTGATATTCTTAACAATATGATGCTTTACTTTAAATGGTTATTAAACATTCATTCTGAGAGTGTATAAATGCATGTTTGTTATTGGTCTGGCATAAAACCATTCCTTGCTTGTGTAAGGAAGTAGGCGTAATATAATAACTGCAGCAGACTGATCAATTAGAAATCTAGTTACCGTAATTATGTAATGGTTGAAAATTTCATGATTCAGAATTTATTAGGTATGCATCTGTTAGATTTTAGATGATTGAGATAGTGTTATTTGTCATCCTCAGATTTCCGTACTAATGAGCATTCTAATTTATTCTTTGTCATGAATGGTAGTTCTAAAATATGATTAAGTATAACGTTGAGAGGTACCAATCCGCTCTACCTTTCTTGGTAAAATTTTGCTTGTTTTTCGCTTTGCAATGTACATTATATTTTATGATTTTTCTACCTTATTAAACACAGGAGGCAAAAGATTGTGATCACAGAAATAAATCATTTCATTTAACAATTAGAAGCATGTAGATTATTTCTTTGCAATTCTGTCATGTTGGTTAACTAGCCAGGCTGAATGTGATCCTTATGCTTTCACAATGCTGACATAGTGAAACTGGGAAGGTTTTGTTTCCTCCTATATTAATGTGATGTGGATTAATCAGAACAATATCATCTTTGTGAAGTATTGCCAATGCTGCTTTCTGTGCCTTATTTATTTCTGTGTTACAGTGAAGTGAAGAAATTTTATCCAAGTAGACTATATCCAATCCCGATGTTGAATACATTTTTATAATTCCAAATCATCTATTTCTTCTTTCAAAGCAAAAATGCTTCTAAAGTTTTATGTTAGGCAATATTGAACTTGTCATTGCATTGCAATCATGTTTGCTGGATTTAGTGGAACTTTCACCGTTCGCATCAAGGGAGCTGACAAGTTGGAACCAACTGCTTTTATTAAACGGTTACCGGGAATATCTGTTACAACACTTGACCCCTATGTTGAAGTAAGCGTAGATGATAAAGTGATCGGAAAAACCAGCACAAAACCAAAAACCCTTTCACCAGAATGGACTGAAGAAGAATTTAGAGAACAGGTGTGTTTGTTAGACTTGAAATGAATGAATGTTTTTAAAGGTTGTTTTTAATGTTTGCTCTGAATAAGGCTTTTGATGACAAACTTGTACTTAGATTGAAAGATACCTGTTTACATTGCATACAATTTATAATATTCTAGAAACTGAACTTCGGTACATCCCATTCTATGTATGTTTAATTTGGCTATGTTCAAAAGAATTTTGTTTTTATTGCGGCTCAGATTGTCTATTGAGGAGATTAAATTCAAAGATTGGGATCTTGTTTCGATAGTTTGTAATTACAGAAAAACATAGTCTGGTTGGAGCGAGAAATCTGAAGCTTTGACAGCTGTAGTTAATTTAATGAAATTTTGTACAACTTTTTCAAATTGAACCTCTACCATGATTTGCTCCTATTGACAATTATGATCTGACACGGCTCTGAACAAATATATTTTAATATTATTATCGTAGTTGTAGCTCTTGCTTCCTGAGCTGATTTACTACATCAAATGGGATTCAAACTGAAATAGCCCGGTTAAACCATGGATGGGATGAGAAGGTTTTAGATTACAATTAATGATGGCTATACATTTATCACATACTAGTTAGGGGTTCACCCTGGATAAATTAAATAAACTGAAAAGTTTGTCCATGTAATCAGAAGGTAAACTTTGATATTTGTTCAAAAGATTTAATATTTTACCAAATTTGATGATGATGCATTTCCTTGTATCTGTCTCTTTGCCATATCAGAATGTCATGAGCATAAAATTTATTTTCTAGTTATGAATTAAATCTTCATGCAAAATTTAGTACACTCCCACTTTTTTAATACTGGGATATTTTTCTTTCTTCTAATTTAAGGATGTTGAGTTGACTCAAAATCACCAAAAACAAATTGTTTCAGAAATATCACAACTTAATTAAACTTGTAGAACAAATACCGGTAATTGTAGGAAGATATATCATGTTCCATTTCAAATTATGGTAATATTGAATTGTGTCAGGGACGTAATAGATGGAATTGTCTGATTCATCAAATATAGGTACAAGGAAAGGCTTATACAAGATTTGACATTTTCATCGATTATTACATACCATTGATCAATGTAGATTATCCGGAATAGGAACAAATTGAATTAAGATTTCTGGATTACCATACTAATTAAATAGGAACATCCCTATGTATTGATTTTTATTCAGTCAATCCCAAATTTAGCAAACAGAACATGAAACCACAGAGGTCTTTTGTCATTTAAAATTCATTTGCTCTTGAATTACTCATTAGCTGCATATATAGAATTCTATTCTTGTGATTATTATCGTTAGATCATTAGTAATCTCAAAGATCAATTTTTTTCATGATTATATGCACATTATAGCCTATTTTAACAGCTGTCTAAGTATTGTACACTTTGGTCTTCTTTTTTCTCTTTTTGTAGTAAATCATTCAAATATATTTTTTCAGTAAAATTTTGGCTTAATTTAAATACACTGAGTTCGATATTACTGATATACTATGCTATCTGAATTTTTGAAACTACTTTTGCTGATTTACATTAGTTTTTTTTACATAAATAGAGTGGAATATTCTTTAAAATTTAACTTCGTAGCCAATATAATGACCTTTTGGGCAAATGCTATTTATGTCACTGATACATTTTTATAGTCATTCAATGATTTATTGTGTACCAAGCTGCTCTATTTTATTTTTTTTAATTTTAGATACATTTGCTTGTTTTTCAGGTACATGAGGCCCAAATGCTAACCTTTCGTGTATTCCATTATGCTGTGCCAGAGGATGATTTTGTTGCAGATGCCCAAGTTAGCTTTGAACAATTGCTAACTGCAAATTCGGATGTTGTTGGATTCAATGACATTCAGGTAAAATAAGATGACTGCTATCTGGATTTTGTCATGGTGTATTAGAACTAGAATATACAAGTTATTTATTTTGTTTATATGTTGTCTATAAAATGATGTGTTTTGTAGTGGTCTGATAGTAATTAGTAATACAGTATCACCTGTTTCTATCCTGCCAAACTGGAGTAGCTTACACCGACCCACTATTATTATTTTCAATGTATAACTGAATAGCTAATAACAATAACATTTTGTTTTGATAATAATGACAGGACCCCAAAACTAATAAGACAAAAGCGTGAATGTTAAAATTTAGAAAAATTATTAGTTAAAGATTATACAAAGTTACATTACAGGTGTTGGTATTTATTCAAAGCTTATTAAAGCACTATTCGCTTAAATATTTTAAAAAAAGTTACAGGAGTTAAGCAATCAGAAAAAACTTTGTTTATTTTCGCAAAGCAAGCATCTTAAATATTTGCCCTTTTGAGATGAAGTCCTCATCCTACTTTTATATGAATCCAAAATTTTCATCTCATAAATCTGCATGAACTTTGCATATTTGAGTGAGTGCTTGCTTTGAGCAGCCTTAGTATATTTTACTTTATTAATAAAGAAGTTGTTAAATATCCCTTGAGACTGTCAATATGCCACTACACCCAACGGATATGTCTGTCAAAAAAGACATTATCAAATGAAAGATAGGAAAATATCAGCATTTGAATGAATATCTTTAAAATATATTTTTGATAGAATTTTTCATAGGAAAGTTAGTCGCTAAATACATTGTGCTTTTATAACACATCAACAATGAGAATATATGATGAACTGCACTGAAAATTGTAGTATAATGAAGCAAACTATTGAAGTCCTTTTTTTAACCCTTCTCTGATACCATTGTATTGATTTGCATCAAAATAAAGTCAGGTGCAAACTAGTAACAGCTTCCGCATGTTCTCTATACATGATTTTATACAACAGACAAGCTGACAGTTATATTGACATATTTTATTATTTACCAATTATTACAGCTGATTGTTTTTGTTGTTATGATAAGGTGTCAGAGTTTTAGAGCAAGTATGCTATATTTTAAGATGACCAAAACTGAACAATTGTTTTTTCTGAATATTTTCAAATCTGTATTTTGAAACTAGGCCATTTTCACATCTAAAATTCATGTAATTTAATAATATGTCCCAATGGAAATTGAAATTGAAAGTGGAGAAATGTCAAAGACATTATTTCGACTGAATTCCCAATATGGTTTCAAAATTATTTTGACGAGAAGTCTTCCCTTCTCTTTTTTTTAATACTAAATGTTCATTCATTTTTTAATTCATTCAAAAATATTCGAAGCATCAATTTATACACAGAGTAAATCTAAGTATTTTAAAAAAAATTTGCATTTCACTCAGGTTTTCACTATTATGCTGATGTCTTTGACAAAAATAACTCATTACTACAACTATTGACTATTCCTGTGATCTATTTTGTACCAAATCATGCAATATATTTAACAAAATTTACATACAATAGGACATCCTAATTCAATTTTGCACTTCGCTAACATTGGTAATGGATATTTTATAAAAAAAATTCAATTTTGTATACTTTGCCATTGCCAACCAAATGTCCATTTGTACTTGGTATTGTGTTTGGAATTCAACACATTCCTTAGCCCTGCTTCAAGTGTTAATTAAAACCAATCTCCCCTGGGATTGGCTCTTGCTCGCATAATTAGTTCCGAATCTTCAGCCTCAAATGCTGCAGTTGCTTATAATTGCATACCGCTGTCTCAGTATTGTGAATCACAATGCCATTATTTTATAATTCCAGCTTATAATGCTTTCAAACAGATCTCAAGAGAAGCCCTCACTTTAGGGGATAAAATAAAATTGATTTTGTGCCTTGAACCTAACGAAGCCAACTTATACTCAAGTGGTATGTCTGGTGATTATTAAAGAAGACCATAATAACAACTTTCATCACTATGTAAATTTCTAATTCTACAGGCCTACTTTGTGATTTTCCTAAATAAAATGCTGCATTTCAGTTACAGCACATAAAGTAAAAAAAAATCAAAAATTTTGCTATTCTGTATTACAGGTAATCAATTATGCACTGCAATTTTGATATATGGTAAATGTTGTGGAGCGAAATCATATTATGGTTGCAAAAATAAGCAAATTTCTTCTATTAATGGTTATTGTTTCGAATTTAAGAAAGATCATAATAATATCGGAATCATGAATTTTTAATTGCATTTACCTCAATTTTATTCTTTTTTCAATGACTTAGATTGGACATTTTAGCCTTTAGGTTTCCCTTCTTTCTCATTCTAAAATTGAATCAATAACATTTTATTGCTATGAACAGTGTATTTTTCCACATTGCCATGGTTACTCTTATTAAACTAGATGACAATCTAGACTGTGTTTGTAGAACTAATTTCTAACTATCTATATCATTGTTTTTTTTTAATTTCCTTTAGCAACATAGATTTATCATAAGATGGAAATTATTCAAATAATCTAATAGCGTTAATAAATGGATTTTCTCATTGTTTAATCAGTTTCATGCACGATGAATATTCAAAAGACAATCCCAATTGACACCATGCGATAATTTGTGAATGAAAAAAATTGATATGCACTAATCATGCAATATTTAAAAAAAAAATGAGAAGAAAAGATACTCAATAACAACATTATTTTTTCCAACCTGTTTACTAACTAATAACTCTTTACGGTATGTAAAGAAATCTTGGAACATTTAAATTTAACACTGTTGAAGTTAGACTAAGGTTAGATTCCATTGCTAATATATATCATACCTAGGCCTACTGTTTGCAAGTCTTAAATATTTTTTTCGAAATAAATTTAATTGATATTTTCATTTATAGGCTTTTTATTCGCTGTAGTTCAGGATAAAACATTAACCAATAGTTAATGCAGATATGTTTACTGGTGGTTATCATGATTTTAACTTAATCGGTAGTAGAAAAAAAAGTCACCTATTTTTCAAACATCACTTAGGATTATTCTATGGCATAATTAAATGTATTTTAATACAAGCAAGGTATGTCCAAAGCGAACCGAATATTTAAATTGCCTCAAAAAAGATTTTTATTATATTCAATATTTTATTAAATTGTTGATTTTAGGAATACTTTAGAATAGTTTATTTTCAAAAATTATCATTTTGACTTTTGAGCAATTGAGGCCCAATAATATAACAAAAATGCCTTAATTTCATTTTTGAAAGCTGTAAAGCAAAGAACCAATCAGGACATTTTCATCTTGATCGCATTTTCATATCAAATTCACTGAATATGCTATATACGGTGTTACCTGGTAATCGCGATCCAATTTATGTAATATTCATTATTCCAAATTAAAAAATATTATTTCAGAAGGGTTTTGAAAAAGAAGATCATGCAAGTTAATATTTATGAAATTTCCCTTCGTTTTAGATTCCTATGGAACCAGCTGGAATGTTGAACTTTTCCTTCAAAATGCAAGAAGGTAATTATATTTCATTTTGTTATATATGTAACCTTTTACCACACTTGTTTTGTTTCTATGTTGAGATTACAGTGACCCACCTAACCTGCTGTGTATTTACTTATAGCGTATTATGCATGACTCAAATAGGAAGTTGACGCATATTATCAGTTTCAATTGAATTTTTATTTTTTTACAAAAATTCTCATCAACAGTGTAATTAGTGAATTCAATGTGTATTTTTAAAATACTTTTACATACTTTTTTTTTCGAATTGTTTCAAAAGGTAATGATTAGGTTTCATTTCTTTGAAAGCCAGGTATTCTAATTCAATATGTCATGTCATAGTAGAATCCACTTGCTACCTAATCGAGTTTGCTTTGATTTTCATGACGCTATACAATGGTGTGTAGTGCAATATACCATATTATGTGATTCATGCTTTGCACATGTATCATGTTACTACTACGTCTACTACCTAATATTATTAATATCCACCTATAATGAATACTTCACACACCAAATCATTCGAGTACATATAAATGATGTACGTGGGTATGGCAAAGAATGAACTGAAAACTAATTGAGCATTTATCATGGGATGGGCAAATTATTTATAAGTTTTTATCTAAGTCTGTTGTAACGTTTATCTTTTTTGATTCATGACGAATATATATTGTTAAATTGTTTCGTTACACATGTATGTAAATCATGATATGCCATATAATTGTAATCTAGTAAAACTGATGCAAATTAGAATTGGGAATCCTGAAAGTAAAATGCATGATTAAAGCTTTTGTTCAATAACATTCTAAAAGCAACGTTTTGGTTGTATAATGTTCAACTTCATATTTAATTTTTTAGTTTAGACTATTCTTAATATATATCTGATCTGAGGAATATCAAGCTTTTTTATTGAATATCCATTTTTATTATTAAACCATGTTCACATCTGGAATGTATGTTAGAGCCAAATTAAAAAGGGCAGCAATGTCATTTCCAGAACAAATTTTGAATTTAATTAGTGGAGATGTGCATTGTGCGTCCTGTTTTTTTACAATATTTTACTATCGAATTTTCAGCCTACAAATGTATCATTGTGGAAATATTCATTAGACATGGAATATACTATTTGAATATTTAAATGAAAATTAAATCCGTTTCAATTGTCAACTCTTATTGGCAACTAAATGTCTCAGCCACCTTTGTCATAACGTACTGATAATGATTGAGAATATAGATTCACATGATTCATGTATATTTGCATTACAAAAAAGTTTGAATTATGAGGCCCAAAACACTACTGGGATGCAAATCAAATACTTCAAGTCAGACATTAATCACTAGTAAATATTGATTGAGGTAAGACATTGAACAATTAAATGCATTAGATCTACAATACAATACCCTAAAATACCCTGATATCATTTAAATAGGTAAACCCATGTCAGTATTAGAAAGGTCTATATTGAAAGAGATTGATATTCTAGGATTTATTTTGATTTGAGTCCCTAAAAACTTTCAATCAATTAGGTTTGATATAAATTTTGCTTCAATAGTGTCAAATTTTGCCAAAAAACCTAATATGCTCTTCAGTTTTTTTGCATTCCTATTGTACAGTTTTTTAATATTATTGATTTTCTATTCGGTTTGAACTGAATTTTCTTGGCATTCATAGTCAGCATTCAAGTTCATAGATGACATTTGTTGGCAATTTATAGTTCATTTCTTATTCCCGTAACAGCAAATATTGGGAAAATTCATTTTCGAATCTGTTTGACAGGTATAATTTCTTATTGTCCAATTATAAAATATAACTTGATTTTTTTTTTTGAATATTATTGTCAAAATCTAGTGAGAAACTGCTTTTCTTGCAGATTCCCTCTGGCAGTTTAGATCTGAAATAATTTGAAGTTCAATGTTTTGGAAACTGGCACATTAAACTTCTACGTGTGTTAATGGTTACATGCCAATGACATTACGTCATTTCCCTTCTCTATTCAGAAGTCGGCTTGAAACCATTTTAGAGTAAACTTTCGTGATGATGTTCGCAGTATATTTTTGTAACCTACCTTATATATTTTACTAGGTAAAAATCGGCATATCCCCGTTCGACAATTCAAAGAAAGAACTCAAAAACAGGGACGAAGGAATGCTGTACGGCGGAGAATTCATCGCATCAACGGGCACAAGTTTTTAGCTACTTATTTAAAGCAACCAACATTTTGTTCCCATTGTCGAGATTTCATTTGGTAAGTGGTATTTCAAATAATATTGCTGATCAAAGAACTTCTTACTATATTATTGAAAAATGATGATTATAAAAGAGTACCGGTAAATAATTACAATTGGAACAAATATATAGTTAACAATTCCCATACCCGACATGATTAAGCTGTCTCAATATTAAAGGCTCTCATCTTCCTTAAAATAGTTAGGATATTGCACGTTTTTCATGTATGTTTATTTAATTTTCCACTCAAAAAATCAGTCATACCCCTGGCTTGTTATCTTGATTGTATGCTTGACAGCACTGCATTTCTTGAGTCCCATATTTCCTAACAATTTGGGGCTATATATTCCCTGAAAACTTACTGATGTCGTTTATACTATTCAAGAATGGTGAAAACCAAATAATTTAAAATACTATTTTTGAATATGCAATTATTGTTTTAATATGAGATCTGTTTAACACAGAATGCATAGAAGTCTATATATATTTAAAGGAATTTCAAGGCCTCTTTGGACTTCAATTGCTCAAAATGATAATTTTTACTATTCACTATAGGTATATTGGTATTCATTTTACATCGACTTGCATATTCATGTTTTGGACATAGTCAACCCTATCCCCTGAACACCATGATTTTCAGAATTGCAAGTAATCATTTTGAAATTCTTTTTTTTTCAGGGGTCTGGTCGGGAAGCAAGGTTATCAATGTCAGGGTGAGTTGGTGATTACCATATTTGAATTTCTCTTTATGTGCGTCTTTTACATTTGATTGACAGCCGGTTTGCAGATTCGATCTTTTGAGAAATAATCATGCACGGCTAGATAACTAGACTCCTCATTTCATATCCACTGGTTGGTTACAGCTTCCTCCAGCATCAATTTCATTCCTGACTATTCACATACCCGACATGCCCTGGCAATGGACAAAAGGCTGCATTTTGCCATATGATTAAGAATCTCGTCGGCGATCCTCCTCCTTGGATAGATACGAAGTTCCTATTCTTTATACAATTTTGATTCATTCTGAGCTCTTTCTCAAAAACGAGTATTTCTATTTCGAATCTCCTGAATTGGTTTATTGCTCAGGAAAATCTTGAACAAGAAAACTTGTTTAATTACGAATGTATTACCTTGTTTGAATTTTTATTCAATTGGCTATGTTTTATATATGTTATCTTAATTCATTTTGCAGTGTGTACCTGCGTCGTTCACAAAAGATGTCATCAACATGTTTTAACAAAATGTCCCGGATGCAAGACAGACGCAATTGTAAGAGTTTTATGAGGTTATTGTTTTCCATCAAAAGCCTGCAATACTTTGGAAAGACTGGGGACTTTCTGCTTTAATATGAAATCCATCCACAGCCTATTATTCATCATAGTGGAGTGATAAACATATAAACTAAACCCAAAATTTCCGACACGCATCTCTAATGTAGCACACGAAGCCATTGTTTCTGCAATCTTCTTTTTGGTTTTGAGAGATATCCCATGTTGCCATTTTCTTTGTTTATTATCTATCCTAATTCATGTTTTAATGATACTTTCAATATTGTAAAAATCTGCTCTTTTTATTCAAGAACGAATCAGTGCATGGGCGAATGAATTTTGGAATCCCACACAAGTTTCGAGTCCACTCATACACGTTTTTTACTTTCTGTGATCACTGCGGCTCCTTGCTATATGGATTATTTGCTCAGGGAATGCAATGTAAAGGTATGTATTTTGAGATGTATTGGAAACATTTTTATTCTTTATCTTTTACTTCAACAATATCAGAAAATTTTGGTCTTGGAAAGTAATGAATCTTTTGTGATAGAGACATATCTGTGTTTATCAGGAAATTTACTCATCATGCAGCTAGAAACAATCAAAATTTTGAATTATGATCTTATCTGATATGCATTTTTTGTTTATCCATCCTCTCATTTTGTTGGGTATTTCTCCACTTTTACCGAAAATCCACCCACTGTTAGGTTTTCCATGCAATACTTTTGGATTTCATACCCCTTCCTAAAGACTAAAAGATGGAATACAAAATTTCTTTAACTTTCTTTTTTATATAGATCACCAAGTTCCCCAAAAACTTTGAAAGCAAACACATGGAAACTATTGCACTTACACAGGCATTTCCCAAATTTGATTAAATCCATAACTGCAAGAAATCTTGCAATTATAATTATGGTGGAAGGTTTCCGATTTTTTTGGGCACGAAGTGAATATATATCTACAGATTTTTAGATTTTAGGAAAATGTTTGTATTTTTGTATAAGTTTAATTCTAACTGCCGGGCCTGAAAATAGACACAAGGTAATACCTAAAATTAAAATCGAAACAGGTACAGCTTTGAAACCCAGACCAAATAATGGTTCCTTGTCTCTAATTACAGGGGATCGAAAAAGTTCATTTCTGAAAAATGTGACATAACATACTACTACTTTGGTTTTTCTGCGATGCGCAGGTGCTTAAAAACCTTTCTCACCTATCTTGTATTTCCTATCAACCGATTTCACACATGACACATTGCAAATTTTTTTACATATATATTCATTGTCGAATGTTGTGACAATAAAAATCTAATCATGCGTGGGATCATTATTGATTCTTGTGTGGTCTTCAAACTAGGTATTATATCTTACATTTATCGTTTCCTTTTTTCTTAACTATTCTAGATCAATGGTTAGTACTGACAATAAAATGACATTATCACTCAATACGAGCATTACAAGTTATCTACTAACTCGTCAACTCACTTCAAATAATGTCCAATATTGAAGGAGCCCGTTTAATGCCCTGTTGTTCAGTGAAAAATTTCCAAATAAATTTTTTCCTTGATTCCTATCATTCTGTGTTCCGATATTATTTGGAATGGAATTGTGTTCAATATTTTGGTTAATAATTGGAGGATTTTCTTTTCAACTCAATACTGAAATTATTACAAGCACGGTAATGAGTTTTGACCCATTGTTAATTTTTTAAATCTCAGTTGCAAGTTTATTTTACCATTTTTACTTTGAGGGGGCAGTTTGAATGACTATAACTATAAGGTGATATTGCGTTATATTATGCTCTTTGAGATTGTGTTTTAAGAAAATCGGATCTTTGTATCCATTTGTATGTTTTTCAACAAGATCCTGTAGCAAGTTTTATTAATGAACTTGCTTTGAGCGAACTTTGATTGAAGATAGATGTTCACTTTTAGTCTGTTTCAGTATTCAACCGATTGTCAAGTGACGACAGATTACTTGCGTCATTACGTATTGTATTCTTTTTGTTTTCGTCAGGAATGTTCCACATGAAATTATCAATAAAAAAATTTGAATTTTTCCAGCTTGCAAAATGAATGTTCACAAAAGGTGTTCTGGGAATGTATCAAAATCTTGCGGTATCAACGAAAAACAAATCGCAGACATATTGAAAGATATCGGTAAACTTGAAATAGACAAAGGAAGCACTAGAGGAAATAAAAAACACAAAGTTAGTCAATGTTTCAAACTTTTAATATTTATTTTGATAAGCTATTTTATTGCTTCAGAATTTGTTTTCTAGTATAGTGATGATGCCCATAAAGAATGGTTTATAGGCATAATAGTGCCAGTTCATTATATTAGGACTTGCGCGTTTCTATGGTTCATAATGAAGACAACTTGTTTGGAAGTCTTGCATTCGTGTTTTTAAATGTTTTTTTTGTTCAAAGTTTTATTGTTGTCCTTCTTGCAAAAGTGAGAAATCAAAGTAAATTTTTGGAATAAAATTTAGTACTTGAATGTCTTTTATTGAGAAGCAGCATTATGCTTACTACGACATTGTGCTTGGTACGACAATTAGGGCTGGGAATGGTTAACTGGTTAACCGATTTCATATGGTTAACGGTTATGATTTATTTTAACCGTTAACTGACATCTCAGGTACAAATCATCTTTATACCGTACAATTTCGTCAAATATGATTACGTCATCGCAAATTTATTTCTTGCAGCGTTTAATTCAAAAAGATATTATTAACTGTGTGGGTAAGGAATCATTAAATGTGAAAAATAATGGAAGTACCAAGGTTGCTGATAATAAAAATTTACAATAATAAATTCAGAATCAGTTTTTGGTCGATTTCGAAATATATTGTTCACGATTTCATTGCAAAATCGGATATTCAATGTCATACAACAAGTGTGCAGTTGATGTCGTTTTTTTTTCATGATATATATATATCTCAAAGTAGAATATGCACATAGAGCACTCAAAATTTGTCACATAAATGACGTTTAACAACGAAATCGGGTTTTCTGAAATATTTTTACATGCCCGAACCACGCTGCCTATCTTTTGCAGCAGAGGAATCATGAAACTATCTCGATTCGTGAAAAATTTTGAGCGATACCGGGATAAGAACACGCAAAATTGCTTTATAACCATTGTGACGTAACAAGCTGAAATTATAATTATTACGTCAAACGTCACGCGGCGGTTAACCGGTTAATTTTACCCGGTTAAAGATCAAAGTGTTTTATTTAAAATTCCCAGCCCTAACGACAACCCAACTAAATAAAAATACCTAATGAAATAATCATTGAATTTATATATTCTTTTTTATTTTTAGCCACTGACTTCAAGCATTAGTCTCCCTCCTAATCAAGAAGGTAAGTTTTAATATAGATTTATACATAACAAAGTTATGCCTCTTACTGTTGCATCAATTTGATTGAGACTGATTTGTATTAAAATACCACAACACATGAATATGAGATGGTTCATTTACAATTAATTAGCATCTTGATTGATATACAAAAGGAAGCAGGTAGAATAAAATAACTAAAAGATTATACAGCTAAGTCATTAAATGCATCCTGGGATGTCCCTCTAATTACCATCGATAAGAGCAGTGGCTTCATCAAAAAGTGTGTGCTAATTATCGATTTTGATCGGTAAGTATGTTGATAGGTATTTGTCTGTCTGTTTGTCTGTTAGATGCACGCGATATCTCACGAAAACCAGATTGAATCTGCTCCAGATTGTTCATGAGCATTCATCTTATCTCGGACCAGAAGCCTATTGATTTTGGGCGAATTATGTCGTATAATTAGCGAGTTATTAATTAAATAGTGATGGGACACAAGGTGTCACTATGGAGTAAGAGCGCTGTTTTGGGGGATCCCCTAACTTTCGATCGATAAGTCTTCGGTTTCTGACCGATATTCTCGTTTTGTATTATTTATTGTAAAGAACAAAAGATTGGTATTTAATTGTTCAAAAACATTATTTTGCAATTCTGTTAATTTTGTACCGTGGTCTGGGTTAAAGTCTGTCGAACTCAAGTGAAAGAGTTTAACACTTGTTACATCATCATCACAGTTTAAGCATGTGTATATTTGTCACAATTAAATTATACCAGTATTTTAATCATGCGTATCAAGCGCCCCATGCGGGCGCTTCCCTCTCCTGGCTCTCGAAAATATCTTTCAGTTTCTAATTTTGGCCCCCAGTCAGTCAACTTTGGGAACCATTGGCTTAAATAATAATATTCCAATCTTCTGTTTTTCATTGTTTAGTACAACAAGATTCCTTTTTTAGCTGCTCGAACAAAAACGCAAACTGCATCAAACGGTGATTTAAGTTCGGGAAATTCAAGAAAACATCAAGTTCAACTTTCTGATTTTTCTTTTATAAAAGTCCTCGGAAAAGGAAGTTTTGGCAAGGTTTGACATATTTTAATTGACACTCAAAAACTATACACATGAATTTGATTTGTCTAAAACACTCCATATGTATAAAATTTCACTTTCCAAAACGCTTTAAACAAACAGACATGCTATTCGTCCAGGGTCATTGAAAAGGACAGATTGTACTTTTTTTCAGAAATTCAGGCGTTTATTTTGAGATATAGTTGGTAAATTTTTACGTGAGATATATACCTCCAATAGAATTCAAGTCATTATAACGTGAGATAGTGGTTTTACTGAAACCTGATAACTATAGTTTCTTTGATGGGGTTTTGAATAGGACATGCCAGATTAACTTGCAGCAAAAGCTGTCAAAGGGTTGAGAGTTTCAGGTTCTTACAAGGAACATTTTTCTAACCTGACATCTCCAAATTGCAGCAGAAAATTATAGCCTATCTTTCGATTTTATTGTATAAATAGTCGGTTTAATTTTTATACAAATTACCATGCATGGTATGTCCTGAAACAGCTAATTTGTTTATGGACATTTATACTGCTTCTTCATCACAATGTATCAAATTTCCCTTTGATGATGTGATATACCTTTCCTACCTTCTAAATTTAGTACCCATAATAAACTTAAAGGCACAGATGATAAAAGCTTTTAACTCTATCTCCAACTTTCTAATTGTGATTCAACTGAAGAAAGAACCTTTCTAATTACATGTGACAAGTTTAATTACCATATATTATGATTCAGAGTTTGGATTGTACTGTTGTATTGTAACAAATCGATTGATGAATACTTGTTATGTTTACTAAGTGTATGTTCTGATTCGAAACATAAATAATCGTGTCTATATTCAAATAGTTGATTAGTTTGGCTACCCTTGTTCCAGTGTGACACCAACAACGGCGATAAATCATTTTTTGTATAATTTAATATGCATGATTTCTAATGCATTACTGTATAATGAAAGAAAAGATAAATGATCATGCTTGGAAATTGGTGTTTCTTGACAAACTGTATCAATTTATTTTACAATTTTAAGCCTTTTTGTTTAAACATCATAGGTCAACAAAATTGGAAGGGATATTATAGTATATTAATATTTATTCCATATAATGGTGTACCACAGCCTCCCGTCTGATTACCAGTGCATGTTCTGGTATGGGATTAGTTAGCCAGTTACCTCTTTCATATTCATGGACTTGACTATTAAGGAAACTGCAAGCGACCTGCAGTTATGTGGACTACCCAATATAGTGGTGAGCAGTACAGCAATCATCTCACACGTAATTATCCCTCATGGGAATTCAAACCCGCGAACCCAATCAGATGTGTGATGTCAAGCGTTTTTTTATAACGCTTAGTATGATACCGCCAAACATAAGACCTATCTTTTGTATGAATTCTTTGCGCAATAATTACTACAATATTGTTTCTAGGTTATGTTAGCGGAGCATAAACAATCAAAAGAAGTTTTTGCAGCGAAAGTTCTCAAGAAAGACGTTATTACTGCTGATGATGATGTTGAATGTACACTCACTGAACAAAGAGTTCTTAGATTGGAACATCCTTTTCTAACATCATTGCATTCATGTTTTCAAACAAAAGTATGTAATTTAAATGTATGAATGAGACTTTGTACATGACTTCGGACAAAAGTGTATTGTTGTAATAATCACTATATTGTTAATTCTACTGAAAATAGGTCAACTTGTTCTGTTCTGCAAGTAACCATTTAGATAGAAAAAGTTATTACAGTTGTTTTAATTAAAATCAATTCAATTGAAGTAAATTTCAATTCAATTTCCCAAATTACAACACCAATATTGCTAGCCCAACAAACCACATACTATACCCATTTCCGAAAAATTTTGTTATTATCTTATTATTCATGTTAAGAAATGCTGCTTAATTCATGTAGTGGTACATCTGTTCATTTGCTGTATTAATTATAAAAAAAAAAATTAAAAAATCATGGTTTTGCATATTCTCTCCACAAATTTATTCCAATATTGATCATATGATCTATGACATATGCTGAGACTCTTGAAATTTCTCTTTACAGGATCGATTATTCTTTATTATGGAATATGTGAATGGTGGAGACCTGATGTTTCAAATACAAAAATCAAGAAAATTCAGTGAATCGCGATCTCGATTTTATGCAGCCGAAGTCATTCTTGCTCTCATGTTTTTACATAAAAATGGTGTTATTTATCGGTAAGAATATGAGAGTGGTTATTTTTCAGTAACTAAATATAATGGAATTAATCTCAGTTTGCTTAAATCGTAGTAATCAAAACCTGCTTCGAAATATGCTTGCTAATGGGGGGGGTTTTGAATGAGTGTATTTGGAAAACCTTTTTGAGTCATCAATCAAATGACTGACTGCTGATTTTATCATGAATTAAACATCATATGCCAGTACAAATTGTTTTCACGCAAAGGGACTGAATAGAAATTGAGTCAGGCTTATTGAAAAATCTGTTTTTGCAGTATTTCAAACTGCAAACTCTTAGACCATATGTTGCTTCGTTGTGTTCATTTTACTTATAATATCATAATAGACATGTTGTACAAAAATTTTCCCACCCAGAATAGCTTTCAGCTGTAGATTCTGTTGGCTGTGAGCTCTCATCCATTCACTGTCCTTTGGCAATTTAATTAACTACTGGTACTTTAAAATCGATATAGTTTCAATAACTGTTGACTAGTAACTTCCCTCAGAAATGAACCTGTATTTCCGAGTGAGTGCAGTGCATGTATTCTTGCTTCAAGAAAATTACCTTTAACAGGATTTTAGGAAGTGTAAGCTTTTACTCCCAGGGCGAATTAATATGTACTAATATGATTCTCGGGCAAATTTGAAAGTTCCAACAATTATCACTATTTTAACAGTGACTTGAAGTTGGATAATATTCTGCTGGATCAGAATGGTCATTGCAAGCTTGCTGATTTTGGAATGTGTAAGGAAGGTATTAACCAAGGAAGACTAGCTACTACTTTTTGTGGAACTCCTGATTATATCGCACCAGAGGTATGTGGGACTTCTTTATAGGAAATTGAAGCGATATTCTTATCCAACTTCATTTACTTCTTGGGTTCTTCAACAAAGTAACAAGGAAATTGTGGGCTATTCAATTTCCATATATTTTTTTCGTTACAGTATTTTACTTGTTTGGTTTCTATTTGTTTGTGCCATGGATTAGACCTCTGTGGTTGAAATCTCATAACCACCATAAAATCATTGATTGATTTGCGTATCCTCTTGAATAAAATCATACTGACGATAAACTGTCAAAATTTATAACAAAAATTGGTCTTGTCAAAAAGTGTGTGTGCCGTTAATAAGTGTTATTATTTGTTTGGTCGGCGTATATGTGAATTTTTTTTATAAATTCACCGTTTTAGGGCTGTTCTTAGGGGGTCTGCTTATATGCCATGATATACAATACCTAAAAACTACCAATTGAAAGGATTTCTCTTTTTCCACCTGTGGACTGTTTGTTTAAATCCTAGTTTAAAGTAACGACGTGAAACTCTACAAAAAATCACATATAAAATGATTTAGTCAATTAAAGTACATTATACGACCTATCTTATCTTGAAATGAAATTTTGATTACTTTTTTAGATATTACAAGAGCTGGATTATGGGCCATCTGTAGACTGGTGGGCACTCGGCGTATTGATGTATGAAATGATGGCTGGGCAGCCACCGTTTGAAGCTGACAATGAAGATGATTTATTTGAATCTATTATGAACGATGACGTTTTATATCCTGTTTGGTTAACAAAGAATGCAGTTAATCTTTTAGAAGGGGTATGATATTGTGGCATTGACTTTAAATCTAAATCTAAACAAATACGATTGTACAATTTCTGTGTTTTCCTGAAATTTATTTGAGAAATATTCATTTTCAAGCAGAGGAGCTCAAAAGGAAACTGAATTATTTTGTTTGTGGATGAATCGCCATATTAGTTTCAATAAGAACCAACTCCACCTGGAAAATCCCTGAGTTTTTGACTGGATATCTGTGTTTCAATGCAATATCAGATTGCAAAAGAATGGCTGATCATCCAAAGTTCAGACTTCAGAGAACTTTATTTTTCAGATGTAATTGAACAGACGTGGCAGGCCTAGTAGTTAAACTCCTTAACTTAGTTATGATGGCATGGCTTCTTAAAATCTTTGGCTCAATCCCATGTCCACCACCTCACCTGTGGTATAATAAATTAGTTGGGCAATGTCGAACCGAAGGATTCTCATAATTTCACAGTGTAGTTGCTCCTTACCTAACACTGACTGTTTGGACAGAGCCATGTTTAGAGCGAAAGTTGATATATGTTGTAAAAAAAAAATTTTTAAATTTGATTTATTTCGGTAACATACCCATGCAAATGCAAAAATTGGACTCCACTAATTTTTGTCAATTGTCTGTATCCTCTTGTTTCCGGGAAAATTAACTATTAATATTTTTATTTACATTATAGTATGTATATATGGCTGAGGTTATTATCTTAATTTGTATTTATTTAATATTATTTTAGTTTATGACAAAAAATCCATCAAAAAGGCTTGGTTGTGGAATGGTTGGTGAAGAAGGTATAAAAGATCAACCATTTTTTAAAGATATGAATTGGACAGCTCTTGAACAGAGAAAAGTAGATCCTCCATTCAAACCAGAAGTGGTAAGTGCTGCAATTGTTTTCAGGTGTTTTCATACCAGGGATCTAAACAGCACCCTTCTATTGGTAGGGGATTACCGAAGTTATGAATAACTAATTTAGATCACAAAGGTTGCAATATTATGTGTGAGATGTTAGGCTTGACTTCAAAATTCGAACCCAGAATATTAAACCTGCCATGTCAGCACAGTATGCGGTCTTACATATATACTAACATTAGTGGTTGATGTAGCTCATAGCAAATAGTTGTTTGCGACTCCTCTAAAAGTCGTATATTCGTTCATATTTAAGTGAGCGCACCGTTGCTGAAAGAGCAAACTTGCATACCAAAAATGTTTCATCTGTTTACTCACTGATGACATATCATGGTTCAGCAATACCAGTTTGAATTTCGATCATCAGTTATGGAAAGCTGGTTAAAATTTGCACTACCTTACTCAGTCATTTTTGTCTTTAGAAAAATGCTCGTGACGTCAGTAATTTTGATCCCGATTTTACAAGAGAAGAACCCAGATTGACACCTATAGCTCATCAGTCTCTTGCCACTGTCAATCAAGCGGATTTTCAAAACTTCTCATTTGTCAATGAACGCTACAAGGAAATCCATGTTGCTGAGGGAAACGGAGCATCAACCACTTCGAAAGATTCTCTTCTCGCACCTCCTCAAAAGAGGACCATCTCGTCGTCATCATCACCTCTTCCAACATCTTCCTCGGCACATCTCATCTCTACTGAACTTTGATTAACCGAAACATTATAACAACCATGCATTACATGTTTGAAATCATTGCATTGTATCACTGATATAATTATGTTAAAAAAATGTGAAATGTTCAATAAATATTGATGTAATCTTTTTCTTGAATATGTGTGGTCTTGTCGTCCTTGCTTTTAAATATCAAACCTAAACTATAAGTAATAGTTCATCTTGAAATGGTATCACCATAATGTCTCCTACATCCTACATCCAGAAACCAAATATTTAAATTTAAGATCTGATCAATTTTGCTATTGACCTTGCAATGAAGTGGTAACTCTTCTGATCTAATTTGAAAAAATTTCTTGAATAATAATTTTTATTATTCGAATAACTAACATTGTTGAAATGTGTAATAAAAACATAGTTCATTCGAGGAAATTTTTTACAATTTTCAGATATGTTTAATTTATGATTTACTCACTTGCAATAATGTTTTTCTTGTTCAAGATTAATTTGCCCACCAAGAAAAGCGTTTGGTTGTTGTACATGTGTAATAAGAGTCAATAATATATGGATTTTCAATATAATAAGAATTAGTAAAACTGCCGAATTTGTGATGTGTCATTGTAAGAATTCTACTTTATATTAATTTTTTTCTGTTCACATATTGCTTATGATTTTATTTTGTGTGTAAGATGTTTTATTAATCACCGAGTATATTATCAAGTTACTGCTATTTCGTTTTGCAATTTTGTACTTTTTTATTTAGTTTTATGATTAATATTGTTTATAAATGTCTTTAAATTTGTTTAGTACTGTCAGATACTTGGTGGAAGCTCGTTTTAAATATTTCCTATGGTTATTGTAAACCATTAACTTGATTTAATCCAAGATACTGCTTGCAAGATATTAAAAAAAAATTCTTATTGTGGAAAATTTAGTGAACATTTGTTTGACGAATGTCATAGTCAATTTTATTGGTGTAAAGTCCAATTATTTCTTGTTGCATTAAACAGATTGTTCAAAGTGATCAGTGATTTTCATGTTCAAGATTGTTGTTACACAAATAATGTTTTTAGTATTGTGGGAGTTTTTCGTACTATATGCATGATTTCAATTTTGAATAGGTAATTCAAATTGATTCTGCAGTGAAATCATGATATTTGAATACTAATATTACTAAGAAAAGAATGTTTGACTTGCGAATTCTTCTGAATGCTGGATTCCCACCCACTCCACAATCATTTTTTCGTTGTTGTTTTTGATTTGTTGTGAGATTCGACAATTAACAAAACCTAACAATCACAATCAATGTTACACGATTGTTTTATTAATATTGTTCTCGGCCCTATTTATGTTTGAAATGTGACGGTAAATTCATACTGTTTTCTGTGGTGAATAACGTGTGTGTTAACTTTCCGTGTAATATAAAGAATATTATATACCAGTACTCTAAACATTAGCAATGCTTCTTATAAAATACCATATCTTTTTTATGTGAAATTTTTATTGGAATGGGGATTTTCAAGAAGAATGCATGAAAAAAGCAACTTTTTTTAAAAGTTTGCTTAGATGCATATTTTTATGAATGGCACCATAATAGCGAATTAAAAATACCCTGATTTCTAATCCATATTCTCAGCCCATTCGATCAAAATCACTGCATAAAAGAATGAAGGTCATTCCCTCCTGAGTTCTAGTGATTCTAAGTTTATTATGCTTCACAAGATCTGTAAGATATCATCAAGTGAAAATTATATACAATAAATCTCCTCTGTTTGGGCTGGTCAATTGACAAACAAGAGCTCACATAAATAGCTATATCCCATTACTGTAAAGCAAGGCAATATATAGTCTTACAAATTACAATCTTCACAAAAGTCATATTTTTCAGCCGGTTCTGTTACAAACAGAACATTGACGGTAACCAGTAATGCTCACCGGTTCGCTGATCTCATAAAATTCTCTGAGACTGTTCTATAGAATCAGTGCGAACCGTCTGAATCCCACCACTGAATTGCCCTTAACCTTCTGGTGGTTTTATGCATCTCGCTACAAAAACTTGACAAAGGTAATGTGACTAATATCCTGTAGTGAAAAAATATGCGGTGAATGAATCGGAAAACTTTATTCCTGAAACAAAATATATGTCGCATATTTTAATCATCCAATAATTTTATTTGTGCGTGGTTTCGTTTTTTTGTCATTGTGCTCAACTTTTCATTTTTTTTTTTTAAATATATTTAGCATTTTGTTGTGATTGAATGCACTTTCTTGTTTTTGTCTTGGTTTAATATGAACTTTTGTTATAATATCATGTAAACTTGCCTCATATTATCTATCATGTTGCTTTTAATCTTCTTTAGTTTGCTTTTATGTCTACAATGGAACAGAACAAGATATTTACTCAATTTTAAAGCTTATGAATATATGAACTCCAAATTAAATGGCACACAATGTAGATGTCTTAATGTGTTGGATCAAATTTATCAGAATTCGTTTGACGGTTTCTTGTTCACGTGAATCATGATTTTGAAATATTATGAAAAATTATCCTTTCCAAAATTAGCTTTGGCCCCGGTAAATTTCAATTGCCTGACTTCTTTTCATATATCTTGCAAAGTCTATGTTTGAGCCAACATTGTCGAACATGCCTCTTGGCTTACAAAAATCTGGTCTGATTTTATAGTGTTAACATTGAAGTGTTAACATTCATATTCCGAATGTATTTTATTAAATCTTTTTAATCGATTTCAAACAAGGCTTTATTTGAATTCCTGAATTCTCGTTTCTGTCATAGAATTTAGCATTGAGATTATTGTTTTTTTTTTTATTTGGTACATAAAATATGGCTTAGTCTATTGTAAAAAAGTCCATGCAGATTAATATGAAATATTGGTATATTATCTATATAGTGGTTTGAATAAACATGAAAAGTATACATTTATATTGTCAGCTTTATGCCGAGTTTTAATGTGCTGTCAATTCATATAGACTTTTACCTGGTGTCAGCCTCGATTTGTGGTTCAAAACATGCCAAGATCAAATTTCCGGTTGAAATGAACTGTGGAGAAATCGTAATCAATGCTATTCTCTGCCACTGCCAATCAGATATATATATACACCGTTTTTTTTTTTCTGATAAATCGATCGTCATACAACATACACTGATAAAAATATATAGTCTCGATTCGGAATACATAAAAATGATGAGTTAAATTTGCTTATTGCGAAGATGACATTTACAAAATATACCCCTCTAGGTGGTGTGAAATATTTATTTTGGCTACAATAAGTGGAAACGTCTTATTCCGCTCCCAACTGTTTGCTGTGCGTTTCGAAACACTACTACCACTGTAGTCAAACATAATTTGTTCATGATTGGTGTTCGACTACCGTATTTTTGCCATAAGAAACAATGCTAACTATTAGAATTCGTTTTCACGCGTTCCAAATATCAAGAAAGCGTGTACCTAAACAACAATAATTATTTAAATGTGTACATAATAAAGAATAAATACGAGACAGCGATCAGAGAACGCCGACTTATCGATCTAGCGGCGTATATTCTTTGCTTTGACTCAATAGCGAACTGCGTGTCCCATCACTAATCAATTGATAACTCGCTAATTATACGACATAATTCATCCAAAATCAATAGGCTTATGGTCCGAGATATGATGAATGCACATGCAAAATCTGGAGCAGATTCAATCTCGCTTTTGTGAGATATCACGTGTATCTAACAGACAGACAAATACCTATCAAGATCGATGAGTAATAATAACAATAAATTTTTGTATCAGGTACTGTACGTTCTGTGGGCTCTTTAGGATTCGTTTTTGTGTGCGATGATGTCATCAACAAACGCGTATCTTGTGGCAGTTCCGTGTTTCCCCGAAAATAAGACGGGGTCTTATTTCAATTCACTCCCGGAAAATAACACTCGGGCTTATTTTCGGTGGATGTCTTATATTTTCATTTATCACAAACAAAATTACAAGTAGAGAATAACGAAATTTTCAAATATAATATCCATTTAATAACACGTTTTTATTCAAAATAACTGCAAAACATAGATTATCAATTTTTTAAAACGGGTGGGTGAAGTTTCTTGCTATCGACTGGGTAAAGAAAATTCACGTTATCGAATAGGTCTTATTTTGAGGGAAGGGCTTATATTAAAATCATCTTTGAAATTCAGGCTAGGTCTTATTTAAAGAATAGGTCTTATTTTCGCGTTAATCGTAAAGATTGCATACCCGTACTATTTCGTGTCCATATATTTGAGCATCGCTCTCTTGCTGAATGAATAGGATTAACAAATTTATCCTGGGGAAAAGGAAAGCCCAAGAAGACGGCTTAATAATATGGCGGACCAAGGCGGGTATGATAGAGATAGATGTTTTTTTTTGGCAACTCAATAACACACCTAAATTAAAAATGGAGAATTCTGAAGAGCCAGCAAAACGTTTAAAACATGAGAAATTTCATGTGCCAGCACACACAAAACAAAATGATAAAGAACACAAACCTGGTCAAACGAGGCTAGAGACAGAAATAAACAAACAAAAGATACGCGAATGTATTTGTTTCTAGTTATATATATATATATATATATGTTTCAGATGCATGGACTTTATAGAAGCCGTGACAGACCATCGCTTAGGCTACATGAATCACTCTACGGCGGCGAGGAGTCCAGCATTCCTCTCGTACATAGTTATCTCCTGCGGGGTTCGAACAATACAATCAGAGATGTGGTGGCGAGCGTGTCCACTGCGCCACATTGGTCAAGATGCACGGTTCGGATGACGTCATGTCACCCGGCGCGCGCTCGCATGTTTAAGCACCAAATTTCCGTTTGAGTATTCTTTACTAGAATTGTCTACCGAATTGTTCGACTACTGGGGTTAGTGCTTTATCAGGCTATTTGTTTTATTAGCGCAGTTTTGTATATTCCTTTTAAAAGTATAGTTATGTCAATTCTGTCCAGTTAAGATGCCGATGAGGTAGATATAGGATGTCCCAAAATAATTTAACCGATTAATTCGATTACCAATTTTGTGGGTTTCATTTATTTTGGGACACCCTGTATTAGTAATTATATTTTTATTCAGGGTATTATCAAACTGCTTTTCTAGTTCCATTGGTAGTAGTATATGTTTTAATTTATCATTGGAGAACTGTGCGAAATTCCTTTTTCTAAATGTGAAATCTTTGTTTATTGATTCTGTGGGAATATTTGGAAAAGGATATGTCTGGAGTATGACTGTGAAATCTTAGAACAAGATTCAGTATAATGCCCAGGAGAGGAACAAAATCAGCCATCATCGTCATCCCTTTGTCAGAACTTATTTCCGATGAGTATGTCTCCGCTGGTTCAGAACGATCTATGGCATCGTATAAAGCAGTGGTTCCCAACCGCCGGTCCACGGACCGGCACCGGTCCGCGAAGCTTTTTTGCCGATCCGCGAGAGATTTTGTCGTTTTGTTTTTCTGCCGTCTCAATCGATTTACCGATACCGAAAAAATGAAGTTGCGTTGATTTATTACGCAATTTCTCATTTTCGTCATATTGCTGTTTAATAAGTGCGGCCCGGCGACTTCTTGGCGCGGTGTAATCAAACTTTCCGCATTCCCGGTCCCGATTCATCACGAAAGTGCTTCGTCAAATCTCGCACGAATCCGAAGCCTGAAAATCAACATATTTATACGTGCTTTTTCCTTTCTGCATGCTTTTCTTGATTAATAAGCCGAAGTTATGTTGGTTTATTACGCAATTTTACTTCCGCCGCCATATTGCTGTTTGATAAGTTCGGTATTAATGGCCGGGCGATGACTTGGCGCCGAGTAATCACACTTTTCCGATTTTCGGTTACGATTCAACGCGAAATGTCAAATCACGCAAGATTCAGAAACCTGAAAATCAACATGTGTGTTTTTTCCGTTCTGCATGCTTTTCTTGATTAATATTACCCTCCAATTAAAAGGTTATGAATATTTATTTGTTTAATTCGGAAACTGTCAAGAACAGTATAATATTCCAGAGCTTCACCTTGACACCCATCGAAATATGAACTTGTTGCGACCTTGAAGGTGGTCACAAGACGTGCGATAAAAGCACCAGCCGCTGAGATCTTTTTCGAGTGATGCACAGCAGGATTTTGAGATTGGTGCAAGTTAGCAACGACTTTATTGGACACGTTTAGTGGCCATAACGATCGTTTCAAAATTTTGTTGTTATTGTTATTTTCTTTCGTCATTATCATTAAAAAATCGCTTTTCTCTTCGAATACTGGACCAATTGCTTTGAAATTTTCAGTGGTTAAAGATAAAATTTTTCTCCAGAAGGCTATTACTTTTTTTTTGCTATGACGTCATCAAAATTATTGCCATTGGGTGGCGCTAAGTGTCCATATATTTGAGCATAGCTCTCTTGTAATTGCAATATAAATTCATTTTGTTTGGGGCGTCGATCAACTGCAGAAGAATTGATATGATGAACCCGATTTTAAAGTCCAGATTTATAATAGAATCACTGTCACAATTCATTCTTGATCTCTCTTGATAACGAATACCCATCGCTAAGTTATCGAGCAATCAAACTGCTGTCCGAATTTTCAACCAGTTACTTCTAGCTTTAATTAAAACGAAGCAAATAAATCTACTGTGAGCCGCTACAGAGCTACGTGTTGCAAAACCTTTTTTCGATTCCTCGTTTGCAATCCTGTATTAGAAACGAAACAGTAGCGAAATTCTCATTTGAGTTAATTATGTTTGTACATTATTTGGCATGTACATGTTTTTTATGTGAGATGTGTGCATTTTTTACACATAACGGGTGCCCAGCACTGCATTTTATTACGCGAATGTATGTTATTATTTTATGTTCCACCCATTTCAATTTTTGGCCGGCACATTATTTGATAGTTTTTACTTATGTGAAATGTTTTAAGTGTG